GAGAAGAGAATTGGTCGCGAACACTGGGGTCAGCGTTCAATGAATCGACAGCATCGAGTCTTGCGTTGATCTTCTTTGCATCCACCAACGGATGGCAAACCCACTGCTTGAACATCCGCTTGCCGAAGGGTGTAATGCAGCGGTTGAGGAGCTGGAACAAAGTCCCCTCAGATCCACCGTCAAACGAATTCGCGAAGATTTCCATGTTGATCAGAGTCTGACCGTCCAGCACAAGACTGGTCGCCTTCTTGATAGGATCATACCACGTGAAGTTCCCGATAGTGATCAAGTCCCGTTCGATTTTCAGCATGCGCAGATATGAAACCATGGCACCGAATGCGCACATCAGCAGCTCCTTTTCGCGGGCTTGGCGCAGAGCCTCCGGCCAGGCTGTGATGTTTTCATCGTTCTCAGAAACGAAATATTCACTGGCCTCGAGCTCTCGGATTGTGATGTCTGACTCCCAGAACTCCTTGCCGGGCTTCATCAAGTTCCAGATAGTAGTGGGTCCAGTGTTGTTCTTCAGGATGCGCATAGCCTTCTGAGAAACGCAGCCCTTTTCTAGCAGCAGTTCCTGCGGCCGAGTCTGGGCGACAAAAGTTTCGAATTTTGTCATGTCAACATCGTCCACAAACTCAGACAAGAAGAATTGACCTGTTGCAGTGTCGACAAAGGATATTCCAAATGCAGGAAGCTCATTAACGATAGCTTCCTTGATAGAAACACAGTAAGTAGACATATCATCTTGAAGCATGGAGCCGTCGACGAGGGTACCTGCTGTGAGGACACTAGCAAGCTCTCGCTTGATGATCTTGTCCTCTTTTCCGGGCTTCTTGCCATCTCGCTCACGCATTTCCTTACCTAGAGCAGATTCAGATTGGTCAACGCGAGCGATCTTGAAGCCCTTCGCCACGAACTGGTTGGCCCAGTGGTCCAAACTCATCTCGGGAACACCGACCATGCGCATGTTCACGCGATCAGTCAGCTTGAGATCGAATAGCTGGTGTCCGATGGTGGCATCATTTTCGTAAAGCTCATAGAACTTTCCCTTCTTGAAGAAAACCACGGTATCCCAGAACTTCTGCTTGATCTCCCAGTACTGCTTCTCAAATGGAGAGAATCGCGACCAAGCCAGCGGTGGGATATAGATCGTTCGGGGGTCGTAATCGGGGTGCCCCTTGGGATTTCCATCAATGTCCTTGATGGTGGCAAGCCATGAGTATCTCTGCTCCGGTTCCTTCAGGTGCGCTTTTTCCTTCTTGTTCGTATTTGAGGGCTTCTTGGACTCAACCGCTTCACGTTCCTTTCGTGGTTCTTTGTTCTCTGGATCGAAAGTCCACTTCTTGGCTGTCCCTGATGCCCCCTCTGGGATTTCAATATCAAGATCCGCGTCTGGGGAGGGAGGTGCGGGCGCTGGGGTTGAGGATGGTTTAGCCGTTTGCTTGCGAGCTGGTTGGGTCGAGGGTCTTTTGCGCTTCTTCGAGGATACGACTTCCTCATCAGAATCATCCGCAACAACGAAATCGTCCATTTCTATATTCATGTCAGCCGTGTTCGGAACGGATAATGAAGACGCGAATCCACGATAGCATACCATCGTCGGAATATCCTGCCTCCTCTGCACCCTCTTGAAACTCATCCTCACTCTCTGGGGATGTCTTTCTTCTCTTTGCTGGACGTCCAGTAGTGCGGTCTCGACGGCCGGGCTTGAAGATAACATCATCGTCATCTTCGCCCTCGGAGTCCGACTCCTTGTAACTCACCTTCTTCTTTCCCTAGATAAGCACTGTCAGCACGGCAAATCAAACAAGCTGTTTAAAACAGTACGATACGTACCCGACGCGAAGGCGACATCGTGGAGTCCTGTGCTTCCCCTTGGGTGGTCTGCGAAACAACAATTTAATCAGCGATGAAGGAGCATACAAACACGTTTAAAAACAATTATACCTTCACTTCATCCACATTTTCATCCTCTTCATCCGGAAGGGGAAGATCACTGCTTGGAATAGGAGTCAAATCCTGAGCAAAGCTCGAGAAACTCCGCTTCTGCTCCCTCGGTGTCGGCTTCAGCGCGCTCCCACCACGATTTTCGGCGGCTCTCTGTGCTGGGGAAGATGCCGGTTCACGGGAACGGTTGTTCGAAGGAGTGGCAGGGGATGATTTCTGAAAGAAGCCCAGAATTGATTTCTGGCTTTTCATATTCTGGGTACTGGAGGTCGTCCGCTTCAGCGCGGCGGTTGGCGGCGTGCCTGCGGTCGGGGACGAGGCCGATTCTTTGGCCATTGCTTTTTTATTTCTTGTTCAATTGAATCTGATTCAATTGATTCAATATTTAATCTCAGCGCATAGTATAATTGAAGGGCGAAGAAACTGGGGGTGTGGGAGGAGATAACGCGGATCGCGTCGACGCGTAAAGTGGCCGAGACTCGACCTGTCGATTCCCGTGACGTGTATTAACTTACTTCAATACCATAACTACATGATTCTGTCTCAATGCGTGATAAATGTAATATTTGTATTGTACAGATGGGATATTGTAAAATTACAGATCTAGCGGAGATTCATACACTTACTCCGACTCAGTGGGTTCAGTCGGCTCAGTCTCCCAGCCCGGAGCAGTAAGTCCTTGCTTGCGGAATTCTTCATCGCTCACGATGTGAACTGCCTTGAACTTCCACTTGCCGAGCTTGAGCATGAGAAGGTTATCGTTCAGGACAAACTCTTGGGTCTTCTCGGCGCCCCATGGCCGGATGGGAGTGAAGGACAGCGCGTCCGACATGGGACCACTATCCCCGGGACGGCTTCCAACCTTGGCGCCGTTGTTGACAATGACGCGGTGCCCTTCGCTCTTGGATGAAACCATGCCGGCCGACCAAAGGACCTTGTTGAACGGCTGATTGATCACAAGGGATCGCGGGAGTGTGACCTTGATGTCGCCCATGTTCGCGAAGTTCGTTTGGGGGGCGTACTGGTTGCCAGATTGCGGGTTATCAAAGCCTGCGGTGGGAGATTGCACGTGGCTTGAGGGGGGAGTAGAGGATTTAGGGAGAGGAGTAGGGGTGCCAGTGGAGGATCTGGGACGGAATAGCTGGCGATGTTGGAGAGCCACTGCATCAGCCTCGTCCTTGCCATGGATGAGCTCGACGAAGTCAAAGGCAAGCGCATGCTGCGCAACGCGTTTCGATGGGTCCTTGTTCTGCTCCTCCATGATGGCGGCGATCTCGGGCAAGGGGATGAAAGTGAACAGCTTGAGGTAACTCTCAACAGTGTCGTCGGGGGTGCGAACGAAGAATTGGTAGAGTTCGAAAGTAGAAGTCAGATCCTTGTCGAGCCAGACAGCGTTTCCTGCGGACTTTCCAAACTTCTCACCATTCGGCGCTGTCAGAAGCGGCGTGGTGAAACCGATAGGATGATCGAGCTCTGACTCGAGGGGGTTCCGGAGTTGCTCGTCGGCGGTGTTGCGACTGATAGATTTCACTGCGTCCATTCCGAAGAGGATGTTTCCATACTGATCGGAGCCGCCAACCTGTACCTGGGTGCCCTTTTGGAACATCGTCCACCAATCCCACGCTTGGAGAAGGGGGTAAGAGAACTCGGCAAACGACATGCCGTCGCCCTTCGACAAACGGTTCTTGACGCTGTTCGATATATCAGTAAACAAGTGACGTTCCTGTCAAATCTCGCAAAACTCACGTCTCTCTACCGAGCATAGGACCAATTCGCATATAGGCGCCAAGGTCACGCAACACTTCAAGGAACGGCATCGAGTTCCACCAGGTGTTGTTGTTAGTCAATGCCCGCTTCCACATAGGCTTCCTCTCGTATCCGTGCCTCCTGCCGTAATGCTCAATGCTGACGCCCAACTTCTTCAATTGCATATGCATGCTAGCCATGTTGGCCTTTCGGATTGAAGAATGTACGGCATCACGGCCCTTTAACCGCCCGGTAGGATCGCCAACTCGGGATGTAGCGCCGCCAAGCTGTGGACTGTCAGTGAAAGCTCTCCCGATGAGCCGAGAATGATAGAGTGGCTGACCAAAAATGTAACCGGAATTCCCCAGACGTATGCCCAAGCCAAGACCATGAATGGCAGCATGTGTCCAACATGCATCGAAGGAGCCGTAGGGTCAATTCCGACGTATATTCCAGCGCGCTTTTCCGTAAAGACCTTATGCAGCAAATCGCGTTCTCTGCAAGACAACCAAACTGGTCAGTATATCGTTCAACAGTCTCACACAAGCGGATGCAAAGGCATAATCCGGTCTTGGTCTCACATACCCGACAACATCATGGATCAGACCACGCTCCTCCAAATGTTGCGCGAAATTCTTCCTTTTCCCTTCCTTGATTTCCTTCGCAAACTCAGCCCACTCCTTCTCCCCATCCTTCATGCGCTGGATATAATTTTGCGTAATCCATCTTTGCTGCTGGAAGCATGTTGCAGATTGTGAGGCAAGCAATGCCGGGCGAGTAGTGTCACCGCGCAGCGGACTTGCTGTCGTTGCGGCGAAATTGCGCGCTTCGCCTAGGGATCGGCGGGGGTTGAAGAGATTGCGGCAAGTCGCCTGGCGGAGCGGTACCGATTGTGGCTTCATCGGACCGGTTCTCGAGGGGGAATATGTGTGAAAAGGGCTGCAATGGGCCGGAGTCTGGACAGAGTCAATACAGAGCAGCTCCGAGATTCTTTCGATAAGTCCGGAGTATTGATGATCCGGGGCTTATCGCTGAACTGTCGATCCTCTTCCCAGTCAGAGTGATCTATGTACAATGAGAATCACAGACGTGTATACAATACTTCAGAAATGTACTGTTTAATGTGCTGCATCATTATTATACTGGAATTATTTTCAGTGCCGCCTAGTGAATGAGCTTCACGCTTGGGAACCCACCCATCCACCATGGAAAATCGGATCTCAAGGCCAATTCCAGAGGAACGAAAAAGAAAGCTATCAAGATAAATAACAATATTGATCGGCTTCAAAATAAACCATTGTGCTAGCTTATCCGACAAAGACCTGTACAAAAACCTCGTTACTCCACCCACTATCCAATTTCATCATCTTCCAAGCAGTCAACACATCGATCGCCAGCACATTACCATCCTTTCCCCCTTCCTTCCAAACGGTCTTCTGAGGAATTGGCCGTCCCTGGATCATAACCATGAAATCCCGAGCAATACTCCTATCTGGAAGATCGGACAGGTAAATTCCAACAGTGCCAAGTGCTTTCAAACTAATATCAAATCTCAACCGGCCGTTCTCAGCGAGGAATATATCAGAAGTCACAACGGCCGCGGCACCGGTCATCTTACCCAGTAAGCCGAGCACGGCCACATGAGCCAGCCTGTCAACAGAGCCATGGGCTCTTTGGTTTACATTGAGCGTAAACGATTGGGTCGGATAAGCGGTGAGAATCTCCCACCCCCTTTGCTCTAGAACGATTGAGACCAGGGAGTCTTGATCAATTGGCCGCATGCGAGCGGATACCTTCCCATTGGTGTGTGCGCGGATAATGTAGTAGCCATGAGAGTCGTCGTGAATCCCGGGGAAATCCATCAGCGAAACAATAGTTGAGGCCTCGCTAGAATGGATATTGAACAGACCCAAGATCCCGCTTCCGGTCTTCGCCCAACCGGTATAGCTTCCTACGCGCAAGATGTTTCCCTCATTGTAGTCGTGGTAAGCGTCAATTGTGCGTCCAATAACACTGGGGCGCAGGATTATTGTGACATCTTTGACGGTTGGTGCAGTCATCTGATCAAGCAAGTCCAGATCATGCTTTCCAGGCTCGTCAGTGATATAGATCGGTCCGCCAGATACGCATCTTGCTGCAGCGTGGAAGGAGGCATATAAATGGCTCGTTTGGAACATATCCCAGTCTGGGAGCACGTTAAGGTAGCGGGTGAGTAGTGAATTATGTGCGTTACAGAATACATGCCATGGGTGGGAAGCAGGTATCTCAGGGAAGAAGTCGTCCGAGTTACGGAGCGGGATGGTAGGTTTGTTGTTTGGAAGTTGCGAATGGAACATGATTTGAGGGGTCATTGACATGCATGAGATTGAGCGAGTGTTGAAATGTCTGAGTGACGCGATTGACCATGCATCTTGGTAGGATGTCATGAATCTCCTGCGGTCCTCCGGGTCTTCAAGGAGATCAATGAAGAACTGTGCATCTGTCTTGACGGAGTCTATGCCCACCGAGTCAAGATAATTATAGAAGTCGTTATAGAAACTTTGGATATCGTCAGGATCAATAGCGAAAATTTTGCCCTCGGGAAGATTCTGCGCAATAGGGCCGTTGGGCGCTGGGTCCTTGATATTGACTTCCTTCATCTTATATCTTTTGGCTAGGTCGCCGTCTGGCGAGATACCACCCCAATACCCGAACAAAGCATGCCAAACTGCAATGTGTTCAATGCTGGGATTGGTATCACGGATTGACTCCACTGTGTTTTTCAATCCTTTGGGGAAACCTTTCGAGTGAGCTTCGAACTGCTGTAAGCCTCTCTTAAATTGAGAATGACCCTCGTTGTCATTTGATTGCCAGCCATCATCGATGATAAGGTTGGCAATTTGAATTCCATTTGATTTCAACTCCGCCAAAGCGTGCAATATCTTCTCTTCGGTAAGATCTTGACCAAGACCATTCCAGGTACAATATGTCAGACCATCAAACCATTGAGCAAGGAATTGTGCACTTGGATCTTTCTCCACAAGAACCTCGTCATCACCTGGAGGAGATGGCGGAACTTCTTCCGGCAAGGCTGCATCCGCTCCATCAGCAAATGGTTTGACAGCCTTTCGTGCCTCGTACATCACTGCAGACATAGCTATCTCAAATTCTTCGGCGACAGCAACGAGAATATGGAACTTTGACGTGTCCTGATTGTCACTCTTTGCTTTAATGATGATTTTGCCATTACTGCCGGATTGAAAGACGGTCAAGACATCATTGACGCCTGATACAGCCAACAGCACCAGGTGGACTCCGTCACTTCTGAGGAATGAGCAGAGTATTGCGTCTTCAGTGAGTCGAAACTTGTCCTTGCCATGTCTAGGACCCAACCATGGACTCCACACCCGCACGAGCGAGAAATATCTCAACACTGATAACGGTGTACCAAGCACGATGCGTTTGATAGTTGAGCTTCCTTCTCGGCTCGGAGCTATATCACCTGATAAACTCCAAAGTTTTGAACCAGGAGCCTCACTCCTCTGTGATTGAATTTGTAGTTGGTCTGAGAACTTATTGATATATTTGGCCATCTCCTCTCGCGGACTTTGAGCGGACGGATCTCTAGCCACAAACCGACAAAACTCAGAGTGCCGTGAGCAGTAAACAATCTCGCCATCACTGACTGGATGCATCTGGTTGGCCCACTGCCACTCGGCGTCTGGACTAGTACGGAAGCGTACTGTAAATTTGGCATGGCCTCCTTCAGCGGGCAGGGAGATCTTGTCGGAAAATACATGGCGATGGTAGTTGTACTCGTGATCATTTCCATTTAATTGATTTGCATGCTCAGGGTTGGATTTCTGCAGCGGTAGAGCTGTCCATCCGAGACCGGTGATGTTATGCCAGATCTGCGCATCCCATGGCTGTGCGGGGAATGAGCTGCTGGATTCGATTGTCACCGTGAAACGCAACTACTGACAATATCAGCATGCTTTACCTTTTAACAGAAATAAGACCTGTTGCTCGTGATCCATCAAAGAGAATATTATTGAAGAGTACTCACCGCATCATCATCCTCGGATCTTCGGATGTTGGTGAGTTGCCCCAGTGGTGGGTAAGATGTTACTCGCGCGAAGATCGCCAGTTGATCTGGGCGAACAACTGTTCCTGGTGATGTTTGTGTGTTTTGGCCTGGTTCCCGTATGGGAAGAGCTGATGAGCTCTTTCTGGCATTCACCGACATTGGAGAGGGGTAGGATCCGGCGCCTGTTAGGCTCGACGATAAACGCAAAAATGCGAGTGCGATGAAGGTGTAGAAGTATAAAGAGCTAATATAGTTTGAGGCAGATTTCTATGTGTGAATGCAAAGCTTGGAAGTATGTTGACGGGGAGTTGGAGAGCGGCGGGGTAGCTCCCGGGGTAGGCGCCCCGTGCCTTTCAAGCGTTGGGGCGACGACCGCGATAGCTAACCAGCCACAATGTTTTCTGTCTATATAAGCTACAAATGGGTGAATGTTTAAATCACACAATTCACCAACATCAGCTACGTAGGTGCTCAAACCAAACGGCCCTGGATAGTCCGAGCCACATTGATTACGTGTGGACGTTGTCTATATAAATGTTGTGTAGCCCACGATAAAAGCTATAATTATTGCTTAATCCAACTATTCGTAAAGATTTCGATTTGCTACATTTGTCCTCGATGTATTCGCGTAAGACTTTTTAGGTGATCTTGATCGTCAACTTGCCGAAGTGCTTTTGAGCCCACTATGACGCGTTTTATTAGTATGTGAGCAGTTGCCATAAGATAAGACCAACTCACCATGTAGTCATAAGCTTCCCGAGCCTGATGCAGACTGAAGATCTTGTCATCCACTACGGGGTGGATATCATTGGCCTCAATAGCCCGGACCATGTCCCTCATCTGGGCCTTGCTACCAACATAGACACCGCGAACGGTGCAAATGTGAGTCAACGTTTCCAGCACAGTCGGCTGGGTCTTAGGGTCAACGCCTCCGATGAAACCAATAACACTGATAACACCCTCGAACTTCACACACTTGAAGCTCTGCCGAAGAGTGCCGCTTCCGCCCACTTCGATAATGTGGTCCACGCCAGCTCCTTCGGGAGTCAGCTTGCGGACAGCGTCACCCCAGTTGTGGTCAGCCTTATAGTTAATGACGTGGTCAGCACCAAGCTGCTTGAGCTTGTCGGCCTTTTCGGATGAAGAAGTGGTAGCAATGACAGTTGCACCAGCAGCTTTAGCGAACTATAACATAAAATGTTAGCCGAGAAATGTCTCATTCGGGGTTATTTTCTCTCCACTTACCTGCAAACCGAACATGCTAACACCGCCAGTTCCTTGCACAAGAACGACCTGGCCCGACTTCACGGGCTTCAACCCATAAAGAGCGTTCCAGCTGGTGAGGGCCGCGCAAGTAAGAGTGCTGGCCTCGAGGGCCGTCAGGTTCCTTGGTGCCTTAACCAGCCCCTGCTCGTTATACACGGCATATTCCCGCAGGGTACCGTCGATTGCGCCACCTAGTCCAGTCGTGGCGGCGTGCGTGTCGATTTCACCATATTGATGGCCCTGGTTGAAAAGAGTTGCCACTTGATCACCCTTTTTGAACTCGACAACCTTAGATCCCACTTCCACGACTTCGCCAGCACCATCCGAGCCGGGGACAACAGGGAGATTAATAGGAAATGGGTATTGGCCCTGTCAAAAGTGAGTGATCTATTCCTCAAGCTGATCCTTATACATGAATATGAAAGTGTAATTTCAGTTTCATACCTTCGGGATAATAAGGTCACGGTAGTTCAGTGACGCAGCCTGGAGCTTCACCAAGACTTCGTTTTCACCGACTTCCGGGACCTCCGCATCCTTATAGATAAGGCCATCGAGGTCGTGTTCCTTGTCTTGGATGACCCACTGCTTCATGGTCGCAGGAGGCATTGTTGGATGTATAGTTTCTATGGGCACGAATGCTTCAAGATGAATTCAGGTAGCGGGGTTGAGGAGCATCTGTGAGTTTATATCATTTGAGGACCCTGATGTACTGACGTATGTATGTATGCATGCAACTTTCGGGTTCCACATCTGCGCACTATTATGACGGCAAGATTATTAAGACTCAAAACAAACTTGTTAGATGCTATGTACATGTGTTTGGGGGCAGTCCACCTAACTGGAGACGACAATTTCCGTTGAAACCCAGATTTTGGCATCATTTTGACACTTGATACTGAACTGTAAGACAAGGGATATCATATACATGACGCTGCTGCTCTAAATTATGCTTAGTTAGCATAATTTAGTCACATGACCGGGCAACTGTACATGATTGGCCGGCGACAATACGTACAGCAAGGGTCTTGACGCAGTGTATGTGATATCCAATCTTAATACGCGTTCAGCTATAGTACAGTACCCAAAAAGCGCGTGCGTGGAGATAACCCACTCGCAAAACGACTCATTCGCACATCGCTCGCCCGAACTCTTTTTGAACATCAGAATTACTTCGGACTTTTGGATAATCTTGTTAGGATTACTTTTCGCGTTATATGAGATTGAATCCCTCGTCTGTGGTGTTCAGAAATCCAATGTATTCTATAGAGTACACCCGGTGGCAATCTATAAGGCTGATCTTTATAGGCTTGTGTCGGAAATGACCACTGTATGTCCAACACCACCCTGATCCTGTTTCTTTTAAGCGAAAATTCTCCTGATATTTTGGATGTCTTTGGATTTCTTCAAGTCCCTGATCATCCTGTGCTTGCGCCTTACAAGTAAACTTTCTACATTCACAACTCTGAGAAAAGAAGTGCCTTATGTTTTTATGATATTCTGTACTTCATGTTGGATATATTGGGTATAGCCAAGCATTCAAGCAGTGCCTCAACCCATTTTCTCAAAGGCTCATTAGGATAGGTGCCAATCCCTGTCCAGTATTGGATGATCGACAAGCCACTCAAGTGTGATCCATGTTAAACAAAGAACCCGTGGAGCCTGAGAAGACTTTACTCGGGTAGTCTCAAGACCATCGGAGCTGAGCTGTGTTGGACAAAGGAAATTTTCCAGTGATGGTTTATTACCAGTCATGTATTAAATTACTGGTTGCCTGGGACTGATAGATTTGTCTACTTTTACCCACTTCGTTCTACGCCACGTCTTCCTATCTTCCTATCTATACATTTGGTCTATGGCGGATCATGGCCCCAACGACAGTATATTTATAGATTCACGACCAGCCAATAAAGCCTACCCTTCAAAATGTGTATCAGTTAGTAATCGTTTTACCTTCTTTTACTTCTGTTCAAAGGCATTTGAGTTGTGTTCCTAAAAAGTGGAGCATTTAACATCTGGCCAAGCGCCCCACTCTATAGAGTCGATCTACAATTGTGCAATCGGAAGATAATATCGCGAATTCAATTCGACATCCACTGGGTTCATCGCTAATATGATAATTGCCGATGGCGCGAGTTCATCAGATCGCGTATCGAAATGATCTCCTTTGGAGGGGAAGGGTAAATGCGAAATATAAATAGTCGTGAATCCTTCCTCGGCTCATAACTACTCTGAGTAACTACGACTTTTGTTTCTTACAATATCTACATATTATGTCTCTTGGACGAACTTTCAAGCTCAATTCGGGCTATGACATCCCCGCCGTCGGTCTCGGCACTTGGGTATGCATCCCCTTCCAAATACGTGAAATGAAATCGCTAACCCATCCACAATAGCTCTCCAAGCCTCATGAAGTTGAGCAGGCGGTTGAAGCTGCTCTTCGCCAAGGATACCGTCACATTGATGCAGCTGCATGTTATCAGAATGAGAACGAAGTAGGAAATGGCTGGAAGAAGTCAGGTGTACCACGTGAGGAGATCTTTGTGAGTAATATTTCCTCAACAGATGCGACGAGGAATGAGACTAACAAATATTTGCTGCTATTTAGATTACTAGCAAGCTCTGGAACACACATCATCACCCCGATAACGTGGAGGAGGGTCTCAACAAGACATTGAAGGACCTGCAGACCGACTACCTGGATCTCTATCTGGTATTATTCCAATACTTTCAATTCAATGACAATTCTAACACGTGTGACAGATTCATTGGCCAACTGCATTTGCTTATACCAACGAAACTCTCACGCCGACGGACCCGGTGACGAAGCGATTCCGCTTAGCCGATGTTCCGGTCTCCGACACTTGGGCCGCACTAGAGAAGCTCGTCAAGGCGGGCAAGATCCGAAGCATTGGAATCAGTAACTTCACAATCAAGGCGACTGAAGATCTGCTCAAGACTGCAGAGATTCCTCCTGCTGCCAATCAGATTGAGGCTCATCCATATCTTCTTCAACCGGAACTTTTTTCCTACTTGAAAGAAAAGGTATTCGATATTCCGAAGCAACGTGTTCGCTGAATATATTCTAACAATACTCTCAAGAACATCCTTCCGGTTGCCTATAGCCCGCTGGGCAACAATATCTTTGATCTACCACGGTACGAACTTTTGACGAAAATGCCTTCTTTTCCGAATCTGTTTCTAACATGAAATTAATAGAGTTGTCAATGACCCTGTGGTTGAGGATATCGCCAAAAAACTGAATAAAGACCCTGCGCAAGTTCTCATCTCATGGGCTATCCAGCGCGGTTCTGCGGTGTTGCCAAAGAGTGTGACGCCCTCGCGCATTGAGAGCAACTTCCAAGGTATAATCTGGTCTCTCTTTGTGCTCTTCGGAAGGTTTAACAAATTATATAGATTTCATCATCCCCGACGAGGAGTTTGCTGCACTTAACAAGCTGGACAAGAACGCCCGGTACAATTATCCGTTCCGTTGGGGAGTCGATATCTTCGGGGAATTGGGTGCTGCTGAAGCTGAGCGACGTGCTGAGGAGCATGCTGCGAAGCAGAGAGCTGCTTAAGTGGCTTGCTTAAGTGGCTATGGCCCAAGTGGGTGTGGCACTTAATGAGAACCGAATAGATAACGTTATTATATATACTTCTCACTCTGGTCAGGGCAATATTTCATGGAACATTTTTTTCAAAACCAACAGGTCTCTGACACAGTAGGTAACATTATAGAACCACTTTAAATGGAAATGCCAAAATAAAAGAAATATAGGTGTGTTGTGTACGCACTCTGCATCTTCAAGCCTCGACGCGGCTCCAACCACTTTTCTTCCGCCGGGAGTATGGACTCAACGCATTTCCCCCACACCTAATTCCTCAACCTTGAACACTTTATCCTACTGTGATAACCACACTCACCGAGATGCTCTCATCCATCAAAGAAGGCCGAGTCACGAAAAATAGAACCAAAAAGTCCGAGCCTCCCACTCGACGCGTCCCCAAAAGTCAGTAAATGCCTCTGCATCACACCCCATCTACATGATAAGCCCCCAAAGACCCCATGATGCACGGATTTCACCACATTCCAAATGATGACGCGTGTTAACCGACCCACAGTGCCTCCGCTAGTCGAGCGGACCAACGCATTAAGCATTGGAGAATTCATCACCAAATACATGCCTCCTGCCACAGCAGGTGATCAAACTCCAGAGAATGCACCAGGTCAAGCTCCTCCAGGCTCAGGGCAGACAGAGCAGATTATATCAACTGAAACGCCATTGGACGTGTACTCCGCGGCAAGCATCTCCCCTGATGACCTAGAAGCCTGTCTAGACCTCATCGAGCAGACATCAGGCGAAGCCTACCGCGCCTCCAGCGGTGGCTGGTCCCGCCGCAAAAAGCGCAAGGAGATGAAACTTCCCGATATGAAATATTTGATTCTGCGGGGTGATTCAAATGACGAGGGGAAAGTAGAGGATGCTACCGATACACCCAAAGAGCGTGAGGAAACGGGACCGGTTCCTACGCCTCGGAATCAAAACGTGCTTGGTTTCTTATCGTTTATGGTTACTTACGAAGATGGCAAGGAAGTGGTCTACTGCTACGAGATCCACCTTTCGCCGAGGGCCCGGGGGCGGGGCGTCGGGTCCGTTCTTATGAAGCGCATGGAGGAGATCGGCCGGGCTGTCGGCTTGGAGAAGGCTATGTTGACTGTTTTCAAGTCGAATGTGCTGGCTTGTCGGTTTTATGAGAGGCTTGGGTATGAGATTGATGAGTACTCGCCCCGACCGCGGAGGTTGCGGAATGGGACTGTTAAAGATGTTGATTATATGATTCTGTCTAAGCGCTTGAGGGTATGAGGACGGGGTATTGTGTTGGAGGGTTTGATGCTAAGCTGATCGTTGATGGAATTGGAAGTGAGAAATATGCTGGATTCTAATGTACATTGTGTTACACCTGTCGTACTTCTGTGCCTTGTTGTCCTGGGTTGTCTTGTTCCCACTCGTCTCTGAGGGCGGCGAAGGTGGTGTCTGCGACTAGGATGGAGAGACCCAAACTCCAGACTAGAGTGATGGCATAGAAGAAGTTGGCGTTTCCGGACCCTGCGTAGATCCATAGATGGTAGAAAGCGGGACCGAGAAGGGTGGAGTATAGGATTGCCGAGACTGCGAAGAAGGTATATCGCATTACTGAGAAACATTAGCCAAGGGAACCCTGGAATGGGACATCACAACTAAGATACTCACATGGGAAAAGATGACGGTACAACGGCAGCAACGCGAAGAACAGAGATGCATCCGAGATGCTGGGGTATGGCTTGAAGATCGCAAAGACGCCAAGAAGGGAGGTGATGACGAACAAGGGCTGTCGTCGGAAACGCGCTGTGAGACCTCCAACATAGCTGGCCAAGTGAAGCCAGAAGACCCCGAGGAAGAACTCTCGGAATGAATCGAACATTTCAATGAAGAAGTACCACCATAGACCGACATTGGGAGTCAAGTCCGGAACCAAAAGATGGAACCCATAAGTTGCCGATATAAACTCCCAGAAGTTACCGGTGATCATGACCGAAAGTCCGAGCAAGCCTGCAACACTGGCGACGAGTAGACCGGCGTGCTGCAGGATGAACAGTGCGATCTTAGGTGCTTGCGGGCCCTGCGCGCGTTGGTCATAGCAGACCAAAACCAGCGGAATGAACAAAAGAGCAGGATACAGAGATAGGTAGGAAGCGAGTCCTAGGGCTAGCATAGCATTAATGCTATTGCCAGAGACCGCATTTGAAACTGCGAAGAGGATTCCGGAGGCGGTAAATACGCTGGTTGATCGTGCCAAACATGTCGCAATTGTGAAAGGGTTGAACAAAAACCTGTTACTTAGGTTAGCACATGAGTTTATGAGTAGCCGAAAAGTGGAAAACCATACCATGCTGCGACAGATACTCCGTTCCATCGGAAATGCTTCCGAATTGCCGAATGGAATCTCGAATTGATCGATTGGCCTGACTCAGAGATGGTGACCAATGCCTGAGCATTCACAAGGTCGACTATAATGTAGAAAATTGCCGTAGGTAAGGGCCAGGTCTTTGCATCTGGAAATAGGGCGAACAGAGGTAACAGGAGCGGTGCCTAGATCGGACCGAACTGTTAATTGCACGAACGTAGTTTGAGTGTTAGATCCACAAACCTGGTGAAAGGTACCCCCATCATACGGTGACACATTGCCCTTATACAGAAACAAGCCTTCTTGCACTAATTGGAATTAGTTTCAAATGCGCAATAACTGGTTATTGGGGTCACGTACATCGTTTGAAGCTATTAACAGGTGTCGAGACCTCGACCCTTCCTGTCAACAAGTCAGGCAATGAAGGAAACAGACAGATAAGAAGAAGACGCAGCACAAAGGCTGCGCCAAAGACCACCAGCTTCCGATCTATCATGGCTGCATTGCTGTGGAGTGTTGTTGTTCCAGCTGTCCCTTAGAGACAACTCTCTCCGCCTTTGTGCACGGGCCATCGGCGGTAAGAAAAAAAAGTTATCGAGAAATTTTCTTCTTCTTATCAGCAGCCATTTGGACATTCTGACAACCATCTTTCATTATGGCGAAAATCAAGAAGAAGGGTATGTTTCGAAGCCCTGCAATGTCACATTTTCACCGCTAACCTCCTTCTTAGGTACCTCTGGCCAGGCCAAGAACTACATTACCAGAACTCAGGCCGTGCGCAAACTTCAGATCTCTCTCCCAGATTTCCGCCGGCTATGCATCTTCAAGGGTAAGGACCTCTGTTCTCCGTCCATATGAATCGCAAGTCTAATCACAGTCTCCGACATCAGGTATCTACCCTCGTGAGCCCCGTAACAAGAAGAAGGCCTCGAAGACCTCAACCCCCAACACAACCTTCTATTACACCAAGGATATCCAGTATCTGCTCCACGAGCCGCTCCTGAACAAGTTCCGTGACCAGAAGTCGCTTGCGAAGAAGATTGCCCGCTCCCTGGGCCGTGGTGAAGTCAGCGATGCTGCGCGCCTTGAAAAGAACAACGCTCCGAAACTCACCCTCGACCATGTCATTAAGGAGCGTTACCCGACCTTCATCGATGCTCTCCGTGATCTCGATGACGCTCTTTCTCTTCTCTTCCTCTTCGCCACCCTTCCCTCCACCGACCATGTTCCCGCCAAGACCATTGCGCTCTGCCAGCGTCTCTGCCACGAGTTCCAGCACTACCTGATCATGACCAACTCTCTGCGCAGATCCTTCCTTTCCATCAAGGGTATCTACTACCAGGCTACCATCCAGGGACAAGACATCATGTGGCTGGTTCCCTACCGTTTCGTCCAGCGTGTCAACGGCGACGTCGACTACCGTATCATGGCCACCTTCGTCGAGTTTTACACCACCCTCTTGGGCTTCGTCAACTTCCGTCTGTACTCATCTATCGGTTTGAGATACCCCCCTAAGTTTGATACCCGCAGTGACGAGAACGGTGCTGAACTTGCGGCTTTCACTCTTGAGGGTCGCTCAGTCGGTGATGTTCCTAAGGCTATTGAGGCAAACAAGCCCCAGTCTACCAGTAACTCGAACAAGGAAGTCTCCGAGGAGCTCCAAGCCAAGGTGGACAAGGTGATCAAGAGTGCCGGTCTCGACAAGACCACAGATGAGAAGACAGTCGAGAACACCGAGGAACAGACCGATGCCATCGACCGCTTCGAACCCGCCGCCCCCGAGGCCGACACTCTCCCCCAACCCCAGATGAGCGGCAACGAGGCCGGTGCACTCTTCGCTCCTTTCGTGTTCTACATTTCGCGTGAAGCCCCCAAGGCCCCTCTTGAGTTCATCCTCCGCGCCTTCGGCTGCAAGCGCGTCGGCTGGGCCTCCGTGCTCGGCGATGGAGCCTTCACCCACGATGAGACCGACCCCCGTATCACTCACCAGATCGTCGACCGACCCCAGCTTCCTCAAGAATCCCTCCCCGCCATTCCCGCTGCCGACGAGAACGCCGTTCAGAAGGTCAAGCCCGGAACCCGCATTCCAGGCCGCACCTACGTCCAGCCCCAGTGGATCTGGGACTGCATCAACGAGGGCAAGCTCCTCCGTGCCGACCTCTATGCCCCTGGCGCCACTCTCCCACCCCATTTGAGCCCTTGGGTTAAGGCTTCTCGCGGTGCTTACGACCCGCGCGCCACCCTGGCCGAGCAGGAAGAGGAGGGTGAAGCCGAGATCGCTGCCGATGCTTCGGACAGCGACGAGGAGATGGATGACGAGGCCGCTGTTGAGGAGAAGCCCGCCGAGGAATCCGAGGTCGAGTCTGTCGACGGCGGCATGGATGTTGCCGGCACCGACGATGACGAGAGCGAGGAGGAATCTGACGAGGAGGTTGAAGACTTCGGTGGCTTCGACGAGGAAGCCGCCTCTGAATCCGAGGACGACGATGAGGCTGCCCGCACTCAGCACCAGAAGGAGCTCGAAGCCGAGGCTGCTGGTCTTCCCTTCTCTGCCGGCGCTGCCGACGAGGCTTCCAAGAAGAAGTCTTCCAAATCCAAGAAGCTTGCCGCTAAGAAGCGCAGTGAGGATGAGGAGCTCGAGAGACAGAAGATGATGATGAGCCGGAAGAAGCGCAAGCTGCTCGAAAAGATGATGTACTCGAACAAGAAGACTGCTGATGAGTCAGCTAAGCTTCGTTCGAAGAGACGCAAGCTCGAGAAGGGCGAGAAGGGCGATAAGAACTAAACCTCTAGACTCGACCGTTGTGCATGTTAGATAGTGCTTTGCAGGGCGTTTGTGGTTTGGATCCCATGTATAGGCACCTCAAAAATTTGTGATTGAAGTTTAATGCCATTGAAGGGATTATATCCCACTTATATGTATAGCTTTGTTCTTTTTATCCTTGTATATTTCCTTTTAAATAAAGGTTCTTTGGCATAACGTTACATAGCGAGGAAGTAAATCTCCTAATCCACGGGAAGACAACAACAGCGCTAGAAGCTTCTGACTCATCCTTCGGCTCACATCCGAAGTTGACGACGTTATATATTCACTGTCAACTGTACTCTTCGTGTTGCTCTAATATTCATTGCCAAAGAGCGGATCATATATTGTCCAGACAAGTCAAGAATTGAGCAATCAAACAAACCACAGAAGTACCAACCAAGTACCAATCATGACAACTAGCAACCCCCAAGTGGGGTGGATAGGTATGACAACAGCAGAACAATCTCAAGTTCAATCAGAATCCTAACATCTTCTAGGCCTCGGGAGTATGGGTCTGGCAATGGCCCAGAATGTCCAACAATTCCTCCACCGCGAAAAGAAACCAGGCTTGAGATTTTGGAATCGGACAGCGTCCCGTGGCGCGCCACTTGAATCAATTGGAGCTGTCGGTTGCCACTCTATTTCCCAGCTCGTTCGGCAATGTGACCTCGTGTTCATATCTGTAAGTCGGCCTCTACTTGAAGAGAGACCATCTCGTGGCCTACTCCGTCTTAGGACGAACATTGCGTACTGATAGTGCACAAAAAGACCAGCGACGATGTGGCGCTAGTTTCTATCATCGACCAGATCTTAGCTGTGGAAGATATAGACGGAAAGGTATTCGTGGATACAACTACAGTTCATCCAAGTACTTCCAAAAAAACAAGCGAGAAACTGACACAGCGCAATTCATCCTTCGTCGCCGGTCTGTAACCATAACTGTTTTATAACCTATCAGCTACTCATAAATAACAACAGCACCGGTATTCGGAGCCACCCCAGCTGCACAAAAGGGCCAAGTCCTCATGGCAATGAGCGGACCCAGCGAAGCCATCGAATTAGCCTCGCCATTCGGAAAAGGCGTCATCGCACGTGAGGTTATGATTGTATCAGATGAACCTGAGAAAGCTACTCTACTCAAGGCATTGGGGTAAGAGCCTTCCAACCATGATCCCATTGTGTGTCAGATGGTTCAATCGCTAACCCGACGCAGTAATTTCATCGTCGCAGGAACAATGGAAATTGTAGGCGAAGCCCATGTGCTCGCCGAAAAGAGCAATCTCGGCAGTGGGACACTGGAAAAGCTACTCGAGTTGAATTTTGGGAGTTTGGCGTATTCTGATTCAACGCGTATGACGCAGGGGGTCTATATGCCTGGAGAGGGTAGGTTAACAGATACATGCCTGTTACTATTATAATTTGCTAATGGTATAATCTAGGTCAGTCGCCTTGGTCCAATTTGAATTTGGGTATCAAGGATGTGCAGCACGGTATTAGTTGTGCTCGAGACGCTGGAACGAGGTTGAAGGTTGCGGAAGTGGCACTGGAGCATATGCTTCGGGCTAAGCAGTTCTCGGATGAGAATGGTGGTCGTCCTTTGGATTCATCATCTGGGTATGGTATCATTCGCCAGGATGCGGGTCTTGATTTTGAGAATGAGTTTGTGAAGAGTCGGGATGGGAATGGAAGGAGGAAAAGCTTCTAGTTATACAAAGCCTTATACGAACTGATTTTGGTGTTTGTGGATGGAATCGAAACTCATCAACACTTGGAATAATGTATTTTTTTTTATTCTAGTGGCTCATTAAGACACTCCCGGTGCTCAGCCTTACAAGCTCGGAGATAAGTATGGCTCTCGCCTCGGGTTACCGGTATCGGAATGCTTACGACCGAAATGCTTCAAGGGCCAGGAATTAATTGAGAACCCATTCGTAACGCGGCACTTCTCGTGTCAACAATTTCTTCTGGGTAAGGCGTGCGGTCGATCGTACCTAATCGAGAAGGGCGGACCGATTAAGCTCGGATATAAGCTTTAGGATGCTGCGGTCCGGGAAAAGTAACTGTTCATAGTCCAACAGGAAAATAATACTCAGGTTCATCGCCATAATTATGATCTTCTGCTCAGCCGCACTCTTCTACGTGAAATATCCGTACAGACACCAAGAATCAGCTCCCAGCAGAATGCTTTACCGACTACATATCGTCCGACATGCAGAGGGAACTCACAATCCTGCCCATGACACGACTATCCTAGACCCGCCACTGACTGAAAGGGGAATCGAACAGTCCCAGGAGCTATCACAAACTTTCCAATTCAAAGAAAGTGTTGGGCTAGTGCTGGCGTCTCCGCTACGACGTACTCTTCAAACAGCTCACATCGGCTTTCAACAAACACTCGATCAAAGATACTACGCCAAAGGATCAGGAGCAGGCGTTCAAAAGGGTGCACAATTCGTTCTTGAGCCGGATGTACAGGCACACTCTTCTCGTCCATGTGACACTGGCTCGGACATTTCCATTTTGCAGTCCGAGTATCAAGATCTGCCCTGGGACATCCTTGAATTGGATCCTACATTCCCTAATAAGGAAGGGCTCTATGCATCTGATTCTGAGACGCTCAAACAGCGTGGATGGCGTATTCAGCGTCGGTTGGAGGAGAAGTTTAAGGAATTGGCGAACACTGCTCGGCCTGATATTGTTGTTGTTACGCATGGGGGCTTTATAAGATTTGTTACTGGAGATGAGACATTGGTTATTGGTCCGGCAAAAGCAAGGAGTTTTATGGTTTCATTTGATCAAGACTCTAGACTTGTTATTGAACATTCATTGTCTGGGTAAAACATACATACTCTGGTATATTTGTGTGGCTGGCTATAAGTAAACGGGAAGGATCCCGGTTAAATAGTCAGATTTGGATACTTGAGCTACTATGGAAGTTGATAGCCTTAGGAAATAGAGTAGTGTGGTTTTCTTTGGTACGGCTAATACAGGAAAATTGTTTGTGAATACTTGTATACTTATGCATGCCGCCCGACCTAGGATGAGGAACAACGGCTCACGTAGGCCCTCTAGAGAGAGGTTCGGTCCTTCGAGATCAGGAAGTTGGCCTTGGGTAAGAATAACACAACATGGTCTCCGGCTCGACTCATCCTCTCCACTGGGATTTGCACACACAAGCGTAGAGATGCTTCGGGTAAAAGGTGGACTTCCACAGGCAGTGCCGTTCCTTGCGGCACAGGTTGAGCAACTTGCGTCCATCATGGCTTGGTTGAGAGGTCATACGGCAAGAGAAAGATCTCGCCTCCGCTCGTCCTGGCAGTTCCTGCACTTGCTGCCCAGACTTGATGTCCCTGACGCAGAAGCAATGCAGACTACCGGACTATCCCGACATGCGTTTTGTGTCTGGATGCTTGTGGGGACATACCAGTATGATCATGCGTCGTGAGACTGGTCTTCAGAACGCAGCTCCAATCTGGCTATTTTCGATAATTCAGCTTTGCCTTTTGGGATGAGTCGCGAATGGTCGATTTGGGCTTTATGTACCCTCTTTCGGGCGAAGCACTGACTCCGGCTGGATATCCTGATAATAGAGATCTTGCTTCTCTGTGGGCCAGTATCATGCAAAATGGAAAGAGTTTTACCTCAGGCTTTCCTACAATCAGCCAAAACTAGAGTGCATTATACTCCGCCGTAGCGTAACAGCCTTGGAAGCTATCTACAGTAGTTCAATATTGTAACATAACCTAATCAAGCATAATAGCCGACTCATCATCCGGTCCACTAACACCGCGCTGATTCGAAGTATCGTTCACAGTAATACCATGTGCCTTCTTCATATGCTGATTGAGATTCCATTTGCGTGAGAATCCATTTGAATTTCGAGGACAATCCTTGACGGGGCAGAGGATGTCAACTTTTCGATGAGGTCCTTTGCCAACACCTGGTCGTGCTGGTCTTGATCCTCTTTCTATTCCTTGTTCTCTGTTTTCTGAAACAGGTCTTGATGCAGGTCTCGATGAAGGTCTCGATGAAGGTCTCGAGGGCGCATTCGAAGGCTCTGGTGATGCAGATGATGAGGAGGATGGCACGATAGCGGGAGTTTGGCGTGGTTTTCGTCGTGAGGATGAGGCCTTTCCCTTGGACTTCGGCCTTTGATTGGCCTTTGGATTGTTCTTGGGATTAACCTTTTGCGTGGAGTTGGAAATGAGTTGCGGGCTTGGTGGTGCCGAGTCACGGTCACTATTACTCTCGCTCTCGCTTTCGGTGTAGGCATATTCCTCCCGGCCATCTGCTTTCTGCTTCTTCCGGACGCGGCCTTCGGGCAATGTTCTGAATTCTAGGTCTTCGCCGAAGAGATCTGCACATCGTTTCGAGGTGCGCATCACCACGTCAGAGGGAAATCCCATCATGGATGCTAGGCCCATCACTTCACTCCAGTCACGCAATTTGAGTCTGCCCTTGAAGAAAGAGCCCTCTTCCTGATCCTGGCTTGCGAGCGTGGCACGAGACAGATCTCGTGAGCGAGATGCATCTGGCAAGCTCTCATCATCGGTGTCTAATCCAGAGAACAACTTGGCACTGGTGGAACGATGAGGCGTTCCTTTTTGGGGAGAGTCTCGTCGAGTGCGTTTCCTTCCACGGGATTGACTCCTGGTTGTTCTTGGAAGGCCTTCGCCGTCTGTGTCAGACCGCTGTTCATCCCCGGAAATATCTTCCAGCATGCGCCCTTTCATGGAATAATGAAGTCCCATTAGGAGCCGGTCTAACTGGGTCATGACATTGCGTGCCAATGGACGCAATTTCTGGGAAGATTTGTCGTCGTCCAGTTGAACTATTGGCTCCAAAAAGGTCGTATCGATAGACTCATCATCGTCATCTTCTTCCTTCTCCAACATATCGTCCTGCATAATTTCATCCCCGTCGAGGATTTTCTTGGTGTCATTTCTGATTTCCTCATAGTCCCACTCCCGGGCCCGGAATTTCTCCTTGGCTGCCTTCAACATGGTGGCCGTGATTATTTCTTCCAGATCGGCACTCGGACGGGGATCAGGTTCCATCCGCATATTCCCAGGGTCATCCAGTTTGTCCTTGATGATATCATCAAGCCTAGGAACATGAGCAGAAGGCAAAGGCCATGCCGTCCATCGCCGAGGAACGGCAAATCTTAACTCATTATCGACGCTTGTTTCCTTCGAAGTGGCCCGCGTTCGCCTGCGAATCGCGTGGGCATTGTACAGATGAGCTGCCAGATCTCTTGATCTGTTATTAAGCATGGCTTCATATGCACCGATGTCGTCTGCATTGTAGTTTCGCCATGTAGATGAGTGCCCAGTGAAGATATTTGGACGCTTAACCCCAGACCGAAGGTCAAGACCGCGGTCTACAGTGTAGTAAATCGGCTCTGCAGGCTCCGTAATTGTCGGTTGACTTGATACTTCTATTTGAGAAATCCTGGATCTTCTTGGCATTGGAGCTTTCTGATCATCACCACTTCCGTGGAAACTGTCTCCATCGGAGCCATAATGCGCCTCCAACGGCCGTTCTCGCATGATCATATTGAACTCATTTTCGGAATCGTCAGCCTCCTCCTCCATAGCTTCATCCACTTTGATGGCTTGTGAAAGAGCATCTTGGCTTGCTGGCTCCCCAAAGAGTGACTGTCTCGCCGGCGCTGGTGGAGAGGATGGTTGGACAACATCACTGCTGGGTCCACCAAATAGTGACTTGCGGGGCTGTGCAGATTCCGGCGGAAGAAAATAAGATCCAGGTATCTGGGATTGAGAGGACATGCCTCAGGGACCCGTTGGCTCTTGCCGTTCTATGCGCAAATGCTTGAGTTGATGTCACATAGATGCTGATTCTTAGGGTGGTCTGTTCCACTAGGGAGGTGTATGATGTTTGGGGTGGCAATCCTTTCGCTGATGCTAATGCCAGCAAATTTCGGCTCCCCTTGTTGACAGTTTGGCTGTTCCTGGATGTTGACGATGTCAAAAATTCCAAGTGGGTGGGTCCTCGATTCTGGCACGTGACTGATATACAGCAATGATGCTAACGCTAACCCGAAGGGGCAATGAAAATTGCATACATGTTTGATGGCCGTCTCTGTGATTTTTTATGTTACGAATAAGTCTAGGCAAAAGCTACGATAGAAAGCAACGCTGACCTTTGACTAAACTTCCAAATCTAGTAACAAAATTGGTCCTACTAATAGAGTATCCTTCTCTGAAGTTTACCTCGCCAGCCGAAGTACAGAGTATAGACAGTAGTACATCGGTTTTCACCCACATACGTTACTGTCGCAAAGACGAAATTTTTCTCGCCTGGCCATTCAATCCTGCTCATATAGGATTGGCTCCCCAATTTCTCAATGCTTGTCTACGACTTAGTATGTATTTGGGCATATTTAGCGGGCGTTGGGGAAGACCTTCAGATCGGATTTCTTTCCCAAAAGAATTATATCGACGCATCTTTGCACATTGAGTTGGAGAGAGCAGTGGATCATATGCTCCAATAGGTTAGTGCTGCGTAGGGTGTATATAAGGTCTTCATGGTTCAGACAACAGAGCTATCCCTCGTTGGACATTCTCAAACCCCGTCGAGTCTGGGGACATCGGCAAATCATTGTATTACCAATACGCTATCTCCTTTCTGAAGGAAGCTTTCTGTATCTAATTGGCCTATAATACCGGCAGTTTAGATATATGTCACTCCTATTGGCTGAAAGCTCCGGAAGCGTAATTAACAAACACAAAATACGAGATCTATGAAACTCGCTCTTTTCACCGAAACGAAAATCTGCAGTTCAAGACATTATTGAGCTGAAAAAGAAGAGACAAAATGGAATTGAAGACTGCGTTGCTTTCTCTGATAGAATATCGAAATTCTCAAGTGGTGGTGAGCTCTACAAGACCAAGTGTGAATGACATCAACCTCCCCGCTTTAGCATGGAGCTTCCCTTCTGAGCTCAATTGATTACAACTTACAACCCCCTCGGAACAAAGTCCGTCGGTGTTTCTCGGGCACAAAGAGCAATCACCATTGAGCTAGCAGATCTCGACACGCCGGAGATTCCCCACTGCCAGATACAGCTCCCTTTAAAGGCATCTCCAAGTCTCCAACCTCCCCGCACTCTTACAACCGACTTTCTCCGCCTGTATTACTATTCTTCCCTCCCGAGGGACTACGCTTTATAATGGACCGACTCATCCGCCCTGTCACCCGCCAACTACTCAGACCTCGCCCGAGATATCCCTTTTCCATCCCTGGACCTAATTACGCGAAGAGACTCTACACCATGGGACACAGCGCACCGCAGGTGAGAGCCGTAGTTCAAATCCGATCCCCAACCTATACTGATTCATGGGGAACAGTTGAAAGACCAGTCTCTCTTCATTGAGAAGTCATACATCAATGGCGAGTGGGTAGGAGCCCAGTCCGGCAAGACCTTCGAGGTCCACGGTAAATTCCTCGCGAGTCGACATCATCTGTGCTCAGGATGCTAAATCTACTCTCCCTCCAGACCCGGCCACTGGCAAATTGATCGGAACATGCCCCGAACTCGATACCGCCGACGTTGAAAAGGCGATCCAGGCCGCCTCCGAGGCCTTTCCCAAATTCCGCACAACACTCGGCCGCGAGCGCGCGCGCATGCTGCGCAGGTGGTACCAGCTGATGATTGACAACGCAGAGGATCTGGCAAAGCTGATCACATGGGAGAACGGAAAGCCCCTCGCTGACGCAAAGGGTGAGGTGAACTACGCCGCCAGCTTCTTCGAGTGGTTCAGTGAGGAGGCACCCCGCACGTACGGTGATACCATCCCGGCCTCAGTGCCCGGAAACCGCGTGATGACCGTGAAGCAGCCTGTTGGTGTGTGTGGTCTGATTACGCCGTGGAACTTCCCTGCGGCGATGATCACCCGCAAGATTGGCCCTGCCCTGGCGGCGGGATGCACGGTTGTGGCCAAGTCTCCTCAGGAGACACCCTTCACTGCTAATGCGCTTGCTGAGCTTGCGCACCGTGCTGGAATCCCCAAGGGCGTCGTTAACATTGTCACCTCTTCTCAGAACACCCCTGCCGTGGGCGAGCTTATCACAACTCACCCAGAGGTGCGCAAGGTGTCATTCACCGGCTCGACTAACGTCGGCCGGATCTTGATGAAGCAGTCGGCCTCGACTATCAAGAAGGTCTCTTGGGAGTTGGGCGGCAATGCCCCCTTCATTGTCTTCGATGACGTCGAGGACCTCGACGCAGCCGTTGCCGGTGCCATCGCGTCCAAGTTCCGCAGCTCAGGCCAGACCTGCGTGTGTGCCAACCGCATCTACGTGCAGAAGGGTGTGTACGACGAGTTCTCCAAGCGCTTCGTGGAGAAGGTCAAGGAGTTCAAGCTCGGCGGTGGTTTCGAAGACGGCATCACCCACGGCCCGGTCATCCACGAGCGTGCCGCTAACAAGGCCCACGAGCATGTGCAGGACGCAGTCTCCAAGGGCGCCCAGATTGTCGTTGGTGGCCAGAAGGCTACCGCTCTCGGCCCCAACTTCTACCACCCTACTGTTCTTACCGGCATGAGCAAGGACATGCTTCTCGCCAGCGAGGAGACTTTCGGTCCTGTTGCTGGTCTCTTCCCCTTCGAGTCTGAGAAGGAGGTTGTGGACCTGGCTAACCGGGCCGAGGTCGGTCTGGCTGGTTACTTTTTCAGCGGTAATGTTCGCCGCATCTTCCGTGTTGCTGAAGCCCTGGAGGTCGGCATGGTTGGTGTTAACACTGGTCTCATCAGTGATGTTGCCTCTCCGTAAGTCCCTCTCTTCTTCTTTATGGTTTGCATCTTCTAACCTCTTCACAGATTCGGCGGTGTCAAGCAGAGTGGTTTCGGTCGTGAGGGCAGCAAGTATGGTATTGACGAGTTCATGACGATCAAGAGTGTGACATTTGGCGGCATGGGTGAACCCCTGCAGGAGTAAACATGACATGAAGCAACAATCTACGCAAAAATAAGCTATGCTAGGAATGAAAGAACATGATACAATCTAAAGACTCATCTTACACGAGGATCATCAAGCTGCCGTAGTACCTTATCCGCAGAGGGATCTACATTGTACCCGGTGTCAAGAATCAGGCTAGACCCACCTCCCAAGGCCCCGAATCAGGAAAATCCCTCCGGTATAAGCAAGTTAAACAGTGAATCGAGCACCAACCCCACGGTTAACTAGGTGGTAACCTAACACTTGAGTTATTGCCCGAAGGATCGAAATACTTCCTTGTTAGCGAGGTATAGGGTGATTCCAGTCATCACCCAACGATTGCAATCTAAAGGCGTTGCAAATCCGAGGTCCCGGTAATACATCGATTATCCCACATACTTCGCTCGGGAGGCTTACATTTTGTCTCTCTCATTTTTTTACCTCCCTTGATGTTATCTGCCTGACCTTGTATGGTGTTTGTTTCCTTATTTCGATCGAGCTTATTGTTTGGACTGCTCGACGTGATCGTGTGATGGGCATGGAACCACCTTCCTAATATGGAAAGGGTATATCAACTACTTTCAGCAGTGAGACCTTCGATGTGTCATTAGGCAGGCCGCATGGAGCCTGCTAGTAGCATCATTCATATCGAGTATGCAGACTTCATTCAACAACCGGAGATTCTGAGTCTTCTTGTCGTCGTCACATGAACGTCACATGACCCTGATCCACGTACCCATGGCAGAATAACCAATCCACACACCGCCCTTCGCATCCCTTCTGCTACTGGAAGATACAACAATCCAGCCATCAAATGTGAAACAACCAAATCAAGTCTCTTCTACATCTCATGACTACTCCTGTTGCATAAAGACATGATTTGATATTGTCTCAATGCGCTCAACACCCGGGTTCCTGGCGGCTGTGTCCCGCAGCCAGCCTTCGCGGCTGAAGAAGCCTGCAGTCGGTCTAGACCATGTAAGTACAATGCAACCTAACTAGGGTACCACAGACATGATCCAAATCCGGATTTGGATTCGGATCCTGATATACTGATTGACTGTCCAGTTTATTCAAAGAGGAAGAGTCCTTGCTTTCTGGCGAGAAGTTGTTCGAGCTTTAAATAGTATGTTTCATTCTTGTTCTTCCACTCTTTCTTCGTTTGATTCTGTCGGATTGGAGTGTTAATTTGCATATGCAGAAATCCCTCCATCATCGACAAGGAATGAATTGCATAATTATGCCCGTACTGAATTTGAACGGCATCGTGAAGTGTCTGATTTGGTAGGTTGGCTCTTGTCTATTCGTCTGATATCTACGAGCCAAGGAATGAGAATATCGAGCTGACTTTCTTTTCTTTTTGCCTCAGCAACATATCAGATATTTGCTTTCGGTATGGATTATCCCTTATGTCAGTCCTTTGTTGAGGTTTGCTAATGATTCAAAGACAGGGAAAGCCGAGTTTGAGACTATGAGGCGGTACATCGATGAACAGGTTGCTGGTTGACCTGCTCGATATGTGCTGCTCTTTGTATATAATATGTTCGAATACCAAGAAGAAATTTCACATACTTTGAGGTTCTAGCTATATCCTTATGAGAGTATTGAATGCATGGGCTTGTGGTGCGATTCAGTTGATACAGCGCGTTGATAGGCGGAAAGTCTCGGCGGATCGCCATATGTACACTTGGACTTGCAGAGATAACGTTATCCTGCCGAGGACTCTTATGTTGCTGATGGCTAAATTAATTAACAGCTGTTCTTCCAAGGCACGGTTTGTCTGTCATCCTTGGAATGCCAATATTAATGATAAAGGCGAGCATTCCAACTGCAGACACGAGTGGCACGGCCCGTCTAGCAATCTAAGGAGCAATGCCAAGTGCCGGATCAAGTCTGGCTCCAGTTATCTTGGGCGATATGACCTAAGTTACATGGCTCTAGTTTGATCATGTTCAGCTCGTACCCGATGCATACAGGGAGAACTAGGCTATCAAGGTACTAGTAGATTTTAAAATCCAGTAAATAAGAATCAAGCTAGAAGGAAATCAGACCAACCTAGCGCTTTGTCCATTGCTGGACTAGTTGTACAGTAGTTAGCCGATCGGCAGAGAGCGGGGAAACGTCTAGACTCTAGAGCAAAGGTACAAGCCACCAAAATAAAGTGTTGAAATCTAGGTAGATCCCAAGGCAAATGAAGGAAAAATATAGCGATTGGTTCCACGTCTGTCTGTCTTGTCTGCAAGGGACCCCAGTTTTGAAGCAGGTTTAGGCCGACGCGTGTGTTGTTAACGGAATAAGGAGCTTGAAACCCCCAATATGATGTCAGGACTAAATTATAACAGTTAGTTTCAGTTCCTTCACATGAATCTAGACAAGATAGGAGCACCCTTCGCCACCTGTCTTCCCCACATACTCTATCCTTGTTTCTCTGACTACTGCGGGTGGGACCTGAAGCTCCCTTGTTCCGCCATAGTGATTGGTCGGCAAAGCCGGAAACCGTTCGAACAGGTTGCAGTTGAAGCTTGCCCGGATCCTGGTTTACTCTACGTCATTGATTCTGGTCCAGACCACTTTTCTATATAGTGCTGGGTGGCCGGAAGAGAAGAGGGGGGGATATTTAATAGCTCTTGAGATTTTCCACTGCTCTATCTAGTCCACCCTAATCCATACCTCTTACTTACATATACCACCTGCAACCCCTCGTTGCCTAAAACCCAAAACGAACAATAAACCCCTCCCAACATGAGATCTGCACGACGAAACAGCTCCGTCGGCCCCGATCGCGCCAAGCACCTCGAACGCAACCGCATCGCCGCCAACAAATGCCGCGAAAGAAAGAAGCGCGAACATAAACAAATTGAGCGTCGCCTCAGCGACGAAACAGAAAAGAAAGAACTCCTCCTGGCCCAGTTGAACGTTCTCAAGGAAGAAGTCTGGGATCTGAAAAACATCATCTTCCAACACGCCCAGTGCAAAGACCACCAGATCAACCTCCAACTGGCCCGAATGACCCAAACCGTCCTCGACAACCAACCTATGCAAGAATCCAGCATGTCGCCGACTTTCTCGAACGGGTCATACTCGGATGAATCGGTCGCGGTGGATGATGCGAATAATAACATGATCGACCCCGGCGCTTATCCTGGGGGTGACTGGACTGTGTTACCCAATGTCGCCGATGAACTCGTACCATACGACGCGAACGGGACCAATGATTCGATATTTGAGAATTTTATTGATGCGGAGAATCTGTATACCTAGGGGGTAAAATTGGGGCACTCTGATACTGGTAGTATGGCGTTGGTGATTTTAGCGTTGGGCTTCCTGTATACTAATTTACGAGCTGTGAGAGCTCACAAAAAACTCAATTACGCCTTCGACGACTTATTAACTACTTGCACGAATATATGAATAGCAACAATGTTTTACGCACACGGATAAGTTTTCCGGAAGATCCGCATGCTAGCTTCCTGAAGAGTCATTCCCGGGGGGGGGATTCTGGAGAATTCCAAAAGAGAAGGCGGGAAAAGCGGAAGAATGTTCCCATGACGATGAGACGTGTCTCCAGATGCGACGCCCAGTAATATGATCACACAACATAGCTAGGCGGTTAAGCTGCAGAAGCCATTGACCAAAGGGGCTTTGGGAGACTTCACCCTAGAGGTGAACACGCATAAGAATTCCGTCCACAAAGACAAGCCCAAAAGCCGCCCGCCAATCTGAGGAGTGGCCTGAGCGGTAGAAAGGGAATAGGGCGTGAATAGGGCTTGAAGGGTGGAACATGCACGAGCATTCGATGATCGCTAGCGTCCACGATCCACAGCCGCTGATGTCACCGCATCCCGCCAAGGTCGCCACGGCCTGACTACATCACGCGCTGGCGTTTTGTTAGGTACAACTACCCCATTGTTTCTATTTTCTCTTGGTCCTTGGGTTCTTTCTCTTGATTTACGCTTCCATGTCGATTCTTACCTTGGGTTGTCATACTCGAGGCCATTTTTATGAACTGATTCGCTGTTTGCCTGTACTATAGGAATCCCTGCAATTATTTACTTCTTTGAATGCCAATCAGCTCAGATGATGCCTACCGCTCAATTGACGCCTCCCCCTGGGGAGGGGATGGTGCAATTTTCCCAAAAAACAGTAATGGGCACTATATTCGAGACTACTCAACGGTTAGACTTACCCCAGCCTGTAAGAGGCGTCCTTGGGGCTAGGATACTAAGATTCTACGAAATAGCTACACAGACTGGAAGCCTATTGGCCTTGGCGTGTCTGGACTTGTCTGGTATTGTTCTCTTGGTATCACGTTGCGAACGGCGGGAACTGATTTCCCTATTCTTCATACAGCTCCGCTAGGGACCAGATACGTCATCAGACTGTCGCCGTGAAGAAGCTCGCAGAACCATTCAAGACAGACCACATTGCAAGACATATGTTTCGAGAGATCAAGTTGCTGAGACAATTGCATCATGAAAATGTGAGTGCTTGGAGCCTACTATTGGAGCGGTTCTAATCGAGGACCAGATTATCAACCTTACCGACATCTTCATTTCACCATCTGAAGACATGTACGAAGCTCCCACTGCATAGGTGCATCGACAGTTTATACTAACTATACTAGATACCTCGTCACAGAGTTAATGGCAACGGACCTCAACACAATATTGAAAGCCAAAAAGGTCGAAGACCAATTCGCGCAATACTTCATGTACCAGATAATGGTTGGTGACCAAAATTGCATTAATGGAATCCAGACACTAATAATTGATGTTTCAGCGCGGCCTAAAATACCTCCATTCAGCGGGCGTCGTCCACCGAGATCTGAAACCAAGCAACATCCTGATAAACGAGAACTGCGACCTGAAAATATGTGATTTCGGCCTTGCCCGAGTCCAAGAACACAATATGACTGGCTACGTTTCGACGAGATACTACCGCGCACCGGAAATCATGCTTACATGGCGGAAATATAACGAAAAAGTTGATATCTGGAGTGCCGGCTGCATCTTTGCCGAGTTACTTATGGGAGAGCCTCTATTCCCTGGGAAGAATCATATAAATCAGTTTTGTGTTATTACCGATTTGCTTGGGAGTCCACCTGAAGAGGTGATTGCCAATATTACAAGTGAAAACGTGAGTCGGCTTGTTCCTTGCTACAGGGATCATGCTCGAAAGAGAGCTTGCTAATATCTCTTCCCAGACGTTGAATTTCATCAAATCTCTACCGAAACGAGAACGCAAGCCGATGTCGCAACTCATACCCAAGGCGAACCCAGATGGTACGTCAACCCTCCCTATATTTCGCCTGTAATCAAGAGCCCAAAATGCTAACCCATCTAATCCAGCTGTCGACTTAATCGACAAAATGCTCCAATTCGACCCGAATATACGCATAACAGCCGTCCAAGCCGTCGAATCCCCATATCTATCGCCATACCACGACCCAAACGACGAACCGGTTGCAACAGAATCATTCGACTGGTCATTTCTCGAAGCAAACCTCCCAGCAGATATTTGGAAGACTATTATGTGAGTCCCGAGATATGGAAAATCACTCCTTTCTACCTACTGGCCAGCCTATTAATCATAATCTATTTTGCTAGGTATGGTGAGGTCTTGGGATTCCATGAACAAATGACTGAAAGTGGACAGAGCGGTCCGATAAAAACGACAAGTCAATTGGATGGGATGGACCTCGGATGATGGTGATTGTATATTATTATTTTGCAACTTTTGATGCATGCTCTTTACATTTTTTAATGAGTTGCGGTCTTAGGATTTGGATACCATTCGGGTTATGACTTGTTAGAATTGAAATTTTTTTTTTTGTTTAGCGATATGATTTAGCTGGTTGTTCTGGCTTTGTGAAATTAACAATTTTTTGTTACATGCTTAGGGTTCAATGTATCGGATCTATATTTTACGCTTCACTATATTTCTTGATATGGTGAAAGACGCTGTTGTACATGCGTTAAGAGTAATGCGTGAAATGTGTAGAGGGGAAGACGCGAGAGTGAAATGCTCTAGAGATGCAGCTTTATATGACGTCGTTAAATTGTGAAGACGTGAAGACATGAAGACGTGAAATGTGGAGACCTATGACATAAGATATAAAGACGTGAGGCGTGAAATCGTGAAGATCAAAGCTATGAAGGTATAGGACATGAAGACATAAAATTACTTCTAAAAAACGCGATTCTGCATTTTAAATCTGGCGAATAGCCATGAAATCTCTGCTCAGGTTTATCAATTCTTGAATTTAGCATAACTGAAATATTAGAAGGAATGTTAAGTTATCATATAAACATTAGGTAGATACATGACCAGATCATCTCTGGCATTATTAGCCCCTGTATAAAAGGGAATTAAACAACAGCAGTAAAAATAACAGCATAGCCCATATGTATGTCAAGGTCTATGTTCATCAAACCGACCCGGGATATCGTTGCACCAAAAAGTTAAACCCAAAACGCGTAACTTCATAACAGCCAGGGCCTCATGGTTCAAAACATAAGACGTTCAGTGCCGTTGGCAAATAACAACCATATTCATATCATGAACCTAAAACCGATTAAACAGCCGAATCACCATTAACAGTCGAAGTCTCCGGCGCCGGAGTCGCTCCCTCATGATGGTCCTTCGCGTTACGGCGCGAGTTCACGAGGTCAAGAATAGCGAAGGTATTCGTAACAGCGAATGTAGCCCTATAACCATAACGTCAGACACTTCATCCCCTGAGAAATCAACAGCTCCAAAGATAGGGTTAATAATCTTACCATTGCACAGCAGCAACCACAATCAAAGCCTGCAGGGCATGGCAGCTAGCCCACTTGCACACACCCGGTGAGGGGATCATAGCAGCCAACGCAATCCAGCCACTGAGCCAGAGACCGCCGGTCAAGATTTCAACGAGGGGAATGACGATCTCGTGTGAGATGCGGGGGAAGGCGATTGGTGCGAGGCCTAGGTAGGGGACCGCGATTGCTGTTGTCCAGCAGCCGTTGAAGAGCATATAGTAGACGACGTTTGAGAAGGACCATTCATCGTAGAGGGAAGCAATGACTGGGTTTCGTCAGGTGTTGCTTCTTTGGTGGTTATTATATATCGATGGACGTACCATATGCGCTCAGGCCGATTGTTGCTAGGGACAGGATGACCTGGATGATTCGTAGTGGATAGACCCAGGACAGCATTTTGGTGGCTTGGGACAGATGATTTTTGGTTATATAGTCGAGGATATCGGGCCTTTTTGGCAGATTCTTGGTGTTAAAGTTCAAAAAAGGGAAGAGCTACACTATTAGGGGATTGACATGGGCTTTTATACTGATGAGAGACGGCCCACAAGGCCACTAGTTAGTGTCCCACACGTCATGGCCGGGAAGAAACATGCAGCAAATGATCAGAAGCAGACGGATTATCGGAGCCTGGAATCCGGTGCAGTGAAAAGTCTAATGCAGGTTCTTTCAATAGACCTGAATGTGAGGCTGTCCGAATTAGGGCTTGATCAACTTCCCCGCCTTATACATGTATACGCCTGACCATATCAGCTTCCCTTTTCACGCATTCTTTTCGTCTATGAAGAGTTCAATGCCCATTCAATAGAAAATGTCATGCCAACATCACATCCATCTTACACGGCAAATCCGATCCGACTCGGAATCAGATGTTGGGTTGCCGCTAGACTGTCGATCTCACATGAAGACCTCGGCCGAACCGAAACTTCGGCGCTGATCACACCAGAGTCCTACTTTTTCTGGATCTGAAAGGATTTCCTGCCAAGGAGATGGTTTACATTTGAGTGCTAGTTCGAGCTTGTTTAGCGTGGATCAAATTCCAACCTCGGCTTGTCGATCTTCGGATTCGCCGTCATTGGCGACGTGCAGATGACAGGGTAGCTAACCGGATATTAATGCTTACATCCAAGAACAGGCACACGCCCAGGTACAACAATTACAGTGATGACCCATCCATACAAGTTAGTCGGAAGATCCACACGAATGGAGAATTTCGATGCATATATACAAAACAAGGCAAAAACCAATATACTCCCTACCTATCATACAAATCAATATCCCACCCATCATTTCCCAACAAGAGCCCGGACAGCATCCAGCACACCAACAGACTTCTGATCCGCAGGCTCAATCGCCGACCGCGCCGCATCAGGCCCATCACGCGACACGTGCTTACCAGCTTCCTTAGCCGCAGCTTCAATAGCAGCATGACGCTCCCTCCACGCGCGATCCTCCTTATCACGAACCTCCAGCTCGTGTAACCAGGCATCACGCTTCTCTTGCTTCTTGCGGTCTTCCACAGCCTTTTCGAATTCTCGACGCTGCTGGCGCTCTGATTTGAAGTACATTCCTCCGGCGACGAGGGCGACTAGTGTGAAGGCTTGCGCGTAAATACGGGCGCGGAACATGCGGTTCATTTCGACTGAATCGCCAGATTTCATGGAGCGGTAGGCACGGTAGAGGGCGTAGCATGTTGCCGCACATCCTGTAGTGAGGGGTGTGTTAGTGCCTTGTCGGAGCTTGGTGGGGGATCGTAGTATTGGGTTTTAGGGCGTTGTATACCTAATGGGACAAGAGGTTCTTCTTTGAGACGGCGGGTGAATTTCTGGACGCCGGTTTCTTCTGTGAATTGGCTGTTGGGGGTGGTGTTAGCTGATTATTCTTGCCCTTGGTATTCCCCGTGGCATTGGTAGATGCGGCTTGGGGACGACGGCGGATTGGTATGGAACATACAAGTTATCGTCAAAAGACGAGGGCACGGGCTCGCGACTCATGGTGTATGGTTTGGAGTGGTTCGGGGAGTTGTGCGGAGTCGAATCGCGTTGTCGGGATGCGGAGTTTTCCAAGTCGGGGGGGTCGGAGTTTGAAGTCGGAGGGCGACTTTATCCCAAAACACGGCCTTCGATAATTGATTAGAGTGCTCGAGATTGAGGTAAAGTTGACAGATGGTTGCAGGTTGCAAAGTGTCAATGACATGACTCCAATGACATAAGTTTTCAAATATCGGGTTATGTAACTTAATGCACTCGCAGGGCAATAACTTAAGTTATACTTACTTGGTCTACTAACGAAGCTTCTACTTACGTATTTGTCAGGTTAGTCTAAACAGAGAAAGCTATCCAGTTCCTATAACAGCCCAAAACAGATACAGTACATCAATTGGATCGGCCCTATATGTGCTGTCTTGTGTTGACCGCCACCTGGGCACTGTACCAGCTTGCATTGCCAGTATACCTACTCTTCGTTCACGCAGCCATGGAAGAAGCAAAGAAGCTGCAGTTGAACCAATAGGGCAAACAAGTCTATTCAATTCATCCAATCCAGATTAAAGAGCCAATTTCCCACATACAAAGCTCAGCAGGCCAATATTTAGGGCTTCCACCAAGGCTTACATAACATCTCCGATCACGGTCCGCCTCCCTAGAAAAAAGAGTCATGTTGAGAAACTTCCGACTTTACAATTCCCCGTGATTTCTCATTATTCAATTTCGGTTGGAATTGTCTGAAATCGTCATGTCTGACGACACTTCTACTGGCGTTGCGACTCCGGTCACTCCCAAGATGAGTGGCCTGGCTTTCACTGAATATACCGCCATTGCGACGCCCCCGAACGAACACTCGCAAAGGGTTCCCGGCGTACCTCCCAACTGGGGCATCCCGGAGGCCTTCCTGCTGCCCAATGGCTACCCAGATGTAAGCTATAGCTTGTCCCTTGTCTCTTACTCTCTGCTGGCTTTTGAATTCTAACTTTTTGACCCCGCGATCCAGTATCTCCGGTTGATTTTGACGTCACGAGTTTACGATGTTATTGAAGAGACCCCTCTCACTCATGCGGTCAACATGAGCAACCGGCTGGAAAGCCGGATCCTTCTCAAGCGGGAGGATCTGCTCCCCGTGTTCAGCTTCAAGCTCCGCGGCGCATACAACAAGATGGCTCATTTGAACCATGAGCAGCGGTGGAAGGGTGTTATTGCTTGCTCCGCAGGTTAGTATATATCCAGTCGATGGTTCTTGTCAATGGACATGTGCTCACTTGCTTCTAGGAAACCATGCGCAGGGCGTTGCGTTTTCTGCCCGCAAGCTAAGAATCCCCGCTACTATTGTCATGCCCTCCGGCACCCCCGCCATCAAACACTTGAACGTTGCCCGCTTGGGAGGAAGTGTCGTTCTGCACGGAAACGACTTTGATGCCGCCAAGGATGAGGCTCACCGGTTGGAGAAGCAGCACGGTCTGACTAACATCCCGCCGTTCGATGACCCCTATGTCATTGCTGGTCAAGGTACTATTGGCATGGAGCTTCTGCGCCAAGCGAACCTGGATAAGCTGGAAGCTGTCTTCTGTGCTGTCGGTGGAGGTGGTCTCATTGCTGGTATTGGCGTCTATCTCAAGCGCATCGCTCCACAGGTCAAGGTTATCGGTGTCGAGGCTCAGGATGCTAACGCCATGGCCCGGTCACTGGATTCCGGTAGCCGCGTTTTCCTCAAGGAGGTTGGCCTCTTTGCAGACGGTGCCGCTGTCAAATCTGTTGGCGAGGAGACCTGGCGTATCAGCCGCGAGGTCATCGACGATATCATCCAGGTGACTACCGATGAGACTTGCGCAGCCATCAAGGACGCCTTCGAGGATACTCGCTCTATCGTCGAGCCTGCCGGTGCTCTCGCCCTTGCCGGTCTTAAGAAATACATTGCGAAGAACCCCAGCCCTGACGCCAACCGCGAGCTGATTGCCATTACATCGGGTGCGAACATGGACTTTGATCGTCTCCGCTTTGTTGCTGAACGCGCTGCCCTTGGCGAGAAGAAGGAGGCACTCCTGAGCGTCCAGATCCCCGAGACTCCCGGTGCGTTCGCCAAGCTTGTTGAGGTTGTTCTGCCCCATGCTGTGACGGCCTTCAACTACCGCTATGCCCGTGAAGACTCGGCCGATGTGCTGATGGGTATCTCCCTTTCTGCCACCACTGGCCGCAACGACCTGGCCAAGATCATGGAGGAGCTGGAGAGAGGCGGCATGAGCTGCCGTGACCTCAGTGACGACGAGCTTGCCAAGCGTCACCTGCGCTTCCTTGTCGGCGGCCGCTCTCAAGTCGCCCATGAGCGCATCTTCATGTTCGAGTTCCCCGAGCGCCCAGGTGCTCTGGCCAAGTTCCTTCGTACCCTCCGCCCCAACCAAAACATCTCTCTGTTCCACTACCGCAACTATGGCGGCGATGTTGGCAAGGTCCTTGCTGGTATCCAGTGCCCTCCTTCCGAGAAGGATGACCTCGAGCACTTCCTCCACGAGCTGGGTTATCCCTTTAGCGAGCAGACCGACTCCCCTACCTATAAGACCTTCTTGCGTGCTCAATAAGCTCATTATAACTTGGAGTGTCGTGGAAGTGTGCAGTGTGGATAACGAGGACATGCATGTGCATACATTCTTATTGGTTTAAGCGGATTCGAGGTCCATCTAGTTTGGCGTTTGGTATATAGATAGACCCTCTGTATCATAGGTCACATTGTCTTCCGGTTTTTTCATTTATTGCAGACGTACAAATATCGAAAATATGTCTATTTTTTATGGAACTCATGCAATAATCTCCAATAGCCAAACGCTTATCCTTTTTATGTTCTGCTAAGCCTGTAGTTGAGTCCCACCAATCACAGCGCACGTCTCGGCCGATCGGCAATACAGAACCTCCGGCCAACCTTTGCGATCACGGCAAGAACCTTCGGAGCCAAAACATCGATATTCGCCCCGTTTCAATTCCTCCTGTTCTTCCTAGGAGAATTGAGGCTTCGTCTCCAATTACTCGCCTCTTTCGGACATTCCCAAACCGGCCGCCATGTTCTCCCTCCGCACCGTCATCGGTGCCTCCTCCGGTGCCCTCCGCCAAATCCTCCCCTCTGTCTCCTACAGAACCGCTTCATTACGGCCATTCTCGCACATGATCCGGAATGGCTTGACGAAACTTCGCGGACAAGCACAGGCTAGCAATGCCGTTGCTGTGGGGGTTGCGTCTGCTCGTCAGATTGAGCAGGTTCGCGGGATGAAGACTCGTTCCTCTGTTAAGAGACTTTGTGATGGTTGCAAGGTATGATTTGAGTCTGCGTGTTATGTCGTTCTGCAATGATTTGGAGAGTTGGAACTGGATTGACTGGTGCTAACTACGTCCAATAGCCCGTCCATCGTAAAGGTCGTGTCTACATCATCTGGTGAGTGCTTACCCTGCGCCATTGGACACTCCGTTTGAAAGTACCGGGATCTAATACATTATTCTCTCTTCTAGCTCGAAGAACCCCAAGCACAAGCAACGGCAAGGAAAATAGATCAATTTCCTTATTGCGTTTTTCCCAATACCATGCATCGCCTCCTCCTTCCGTGGGTGCCTTTACTCGAATACTCTGAGACATTCGCAAAACATTAGAGCATTCAGACAGACTATTCATGAGTAGATCGTCTTCTAGATGCATATATACACGGTTTGTCACCTCGGAACTTGGGATCGGCGGCATGCTCTTGCATTCTTGTTTCAAAACCAGACAGTGGTTGGATATCACGGCGCCTTTGTCTTTTCTTGTATATTAGTGTTACGCTCAGGAATATCGGATCCTCATGCTCCATTTCGAATCAAATGATCTCCAGTCTAGGTTCCCGTGACTTTCTAGCCTTTTATATGCCTTGTGATATGCCGATTCACTGCATTGTAAGGCGTCGTTGTATAAAACTGCTTGTTAAACCTCCAAAGTCATTTTCAGTCCTAATAACTGTTTATACTCCATACTCCCTACAATAATCTATCGGCTCTGATGGGCCGATGAAAATCATCACGTGATGCGTTCCTGGCTTCCCCGAACTTTTTTTTCGGGGAGACAACAGAATGTTCAATCCGCGTTGTCCTTATCAATTCCGGTGTGAGCGGATCATCAAGATGCGGTCTCCTTCTCTTGCACGGTTACAATCCCGTGCGGTGTCTGGCTTGACCAGATCGGCCCGTTTCCAGCCTCAGACTCTCCTGCGCCAGCGGTGCGCTTCCACAGCCGCATTCCGGTCCGCCGCTGTCGCGCCGGCTTATCAGTCGAAGTTGGGACAATGGGACCAGCGACGCAATGCTTCTGCTGCTGCGTCTGCAGTGTGAGTCTATCTGTTTCGCATCCTATTGCCGCTTCTAATGTTTTTGTTGTTAGTCTCGAGGCTGCTAAGGCCAACCCGGATGGCCTGTCCCAAGCCGCCATTATTGACAATCTTGATCCGGTCGAGGCCGCTCGTCTTGACAAGTGCCGTAACATCGGTATTGCGGTACATCATACCCTGATTGCCCCCAACTCGCTCCTGGATCGTGTCTAATGAAATGTATTTGCGTAGGCCCATATCGACAGCGGCAAGACCACCTGTACCGAGCGAGTCCTTTTCTACACTGGTCGTATCAAGGCTATCCACGAGGTCCGCGGGCGTGACAGCGTCGGTGCCAAGATGGATTCCATGGATCTGGAGCGTGAGAAGGGTATCACCATTCAGTCCGCCGCTACTTTCTGTGACTGGGTCAAGAAGGATAAGGAGGGCGTTGACCACAAGTACCACCTCAACCTGATCGATACCCCCGGCCATATTGATTTCACCATCGAGGTCGAGAGAGCGCTGCGCGTTCTGGACGGTGCCGTCATGATTCTGTGTGCTGTCTCCGGTGTCCAGTCCCAAACGATTACCGTCGATCGCCAGATGCGCCGCTACAACGTTCCCCGTATTTCTTTCGTCAACAAGATGGACCGCATGGGTGCCAACCCCTTCAAGGCGGTTGACCAGATCAACACTAAGCTCAAGATTCCTGCTGCTGCCGTACAGGTTCCCATTGGTACCGAGGACGAGTTCGAGGGTGTCGTGGATCTGATTCGCATGAAGGCTCTTTACAACGTTGGTTCCAGTGGTGAGGAGATCATGGAGAAGGACGAAATTCCCGAGAAGGTCAAGGCTTTGGCCGAGGAACGCCGCAGTATGCTCATCGAGACTCTAGCCGATGTCGACGATGAGATTGCTGAAATGTTCTTGGACGAGATCACTCCCAGCGAGGATCAGATCAGAGCTGCTATCCGTCGCTCTACCATTGGACTGAAGTTCACTCCTGTCTTCATGGGTTCCGCTCTCGCCAACAAGTCTGTTCAGCCTATGCTGGACGGTGTTATTGATTTCCTTCCCAACCCTTCGGAGGTCGAGAACTTGGCTCTTGACCAGAAGCGTGGCGAAGCCTCCGTCAAGCTTGTTCCCTACAACTCACTTCCCTTCGTCGGTCTCGCCTTCAAGCTGGAAGAGAGCAACTTCGGTCAATTGACCTACATCCGTGTGTACCAGGGTACTCTCCGCAAGGGCTCCAACGTTTTCAACGCCCGTAACAACAAGAAGGTCAAGGTTCCCCGTATCGTCCGCATGCACTCCAACGAGATGGAGGAAGTCAGCGAGATCGGTGCTGGTGAGATCTGTGCCGTGTTCGGTATTGAGTGTGCTTCCGGTGATACCTTCACCGACGGACAGCTCGACTACAGCATGTCGTCCATGTTCGTCCCCGAGCCCGTCATCTCGCTCTCCATCAAGCCCAAGCAGAGCAAGGACGGCGCCAACTTCTCCAAGGCCATGGCCCGTTTCCAGCGGGAGGATCCTACTTTCCGCGTGACCTACGACAGCGAGAGTGACCAGACCATTATCTCCGGTATGGGTGAACTTCACCTGGACATCTACGTCGAGCGAATGCGCCGCGAGTACCGCGTCGACTGCGAGACTGGCCAGCCCCAGGTCGCCTACCGTGAGACTATCGGCCACCGCGTTGAGTTCGACCACCTGCTCAAGAAGCAGTCCGGTGGACCCGGTGAATACGCCCGTGTCATGGGATGGATGGAGCCCACCGGCGCTCTCGAGGAGAACAAGTTCGAGCAGCAAGTCGTCGGAGGTTCCATTTCCGAGAAGTTCCTGTACGCTTGTGAGAAGGGATTCAACCTCTCTTGTGACAAGGGTCCTCTCATCGGACACAAGGTACTTGGTACTCGCATGGTCATCAACGACGGTGCCACTCACATGACTGATTCCTCCGAAATGTCCTTCAAGAACGCCACCCAGCAGGCGTTCCGCAAGGCTTTCGCTGAGTCTCAGCCCTCCGTCCTGGAGCCTCTCATGAAGACGGTCGTTACCGCCCCTACCGAGTTCCAGGGTGATGTTATCGGTCTGCTGAACAAGCGTGGTGCCACCATTAACGACACCGAGACTGGTGTTGACGAGTTCACTATCTACGCTGACTGCAGTCTGAATGGCATGTTCGGCTTCAGTACTAACCTGCGCGCTGCCACCCAGGGCAAGGGTGAATACACCATGGAGTTCAGCCACTACGAGAAGGCTCCTCCTCAGATGCAGTATGTTTTACTTCCAACCATATCCTATTAACACATTTTCAATACTAACTGATTTCTCCCTTCTAGGAAGGAACTCATCGCCAAGTACCTGAAGGCCCAGGCCGACAGACACAAGAAATAAACGACAAACTAACATGTAATATTCCTCCGACCCTCCCCCTCTACAATTCAATCCGATCCAGGCAGCGCCTGGCATTGGATCTTGTTGGATAAAAGAAGTAGCATATTTGGCTGCTGCTTCTTTTCTCCCTCTCCAAAACCCCTCTGTACTATTTATGGCATGGCACTATATCATTCTGTGCATTTCTGGACCTGTATTTCAAGATTTAAGACTACTTTCTACTCTCCTGTCTGAACAATAGACCATTGTTTATATTTCGGTTGTTTTGTGGCTTGCTTTTGCAAGTATTGTATATTTTGAAGGTTGACTGCCTGCTTTGTGCCGACTTTGCTCTATACACCTCCGTGATATTGGATCGTATGACATGTTTGGTATTTCAATTCGTTGTATATCTTGAGGGCTCTAATTTGAATCACCACCAAACTATGAATTTTAGAGTTACACACAACGTATTTTACTTGAATAGAAAGGCTATGGATATCAAATAATAAATTTGTTTTATTGATGAAATAACTGTATAGCAAGCGTTTTCAATGAAACACTGATAATCAAAATTATAGGGCCAATCTAGACAACAGATGAGACCAACAAAGAGCCCATAACAAAGGGAAGACGATACTGCAAAGATTAGTATAAAGAATAAGACTGAGGCTCACTGCATGGTAATACTCAAGTGTGTTCACTTTTCCTCCCCTTTCAAGTATTCCTTGCGAAGATCATCCTTACCTGCCCGCCTTCTGAATCCAGCGGGAGAAAGACAGGTACGAATTTTGCGGTATAACAAGGATCCCGACATGGGCTTGGAGGGCTTCTTTGATGGAGATGCGTCGGAAAGATCATCTGCCTCCACAATATCAGCTTTAAATCCCTCAATAGGAGGGGGCCGGGTCACCTGCGGCTTTCGCTCCTTTCCCTTCCCCTGCTGGAAAACCGTGGGAGAGTACATAACAGACGATGTAATAGGGTATTCAAAATCATCCTCAAAGTCGGTCTGTGTCGAAGCAGACTTCATCCCAGCAGGAATCTCCGTCGGTAGGCTCAGGTCATCTTCGGAGGCACTACTGGGGAGTTGGGTACTCCGGGATGTCATTAAAACGATTTTGGGGATTGGGTATCTCGAATGGAAATCCTCCTCCTCGGGTGTGTCTCCTGGCTGCTCCAGGAGCCGTTCAACCTTCTCATCAGTCAGCTCATCAGTGTCCAAAAAGGGGATTCTGACACCATCGAATAGAGATGGACGCTCACCTACGCTAGCGGAAGATTCTTCCTGCGAAGCTGTCTCCGGTTCTTCCTCTACATGGCCCATAGGTGAGTCAAGAATACATTCATCATCATACATGGTCAGCTGGCTCGACACCGAATCGCCGCAATGCGCGTTTGTGACATTCCAAGCGATGTCGAAGTTTGAAAAGCCTTCGTCCACCATTTTGGTCAGCATGTTATCGAGATGAATATCGATGTCGTATAGGACGTAGATGAGAAAAGCGCCGATTGCATCACCAGGGACTTTGTGTTTAACCCACAGAACTATCATTTCCTTCAGATGTTCAGTGGTTTCTTCATCCCAGACAATCATGTCCGTGCCATTAATGACACCGACAATAACACCGTGAGGCTGGTCATATAGGAAGGATGCAATTAATGCTGAGAGATTCCATCGGACTCTGGGGCTCTGGCGGCTGAAGTCTGGCGGGCCACGCGTCTCGGGCTCTGTTTCATCGGCGATGAGCTGACTAGGCTCGTATACGGACGGTCCTGGGGTGTGAGAGGTGGATTGGAATCCATCCATGAATCTGACTTTCTTACCTGAGGAGGCCATGGTCTTTTTTTTTTGTGTTTTGTTTTGTTTCGAAATCTGGACTGTGGTAATTCAATTGATAGTTTGCTTGTAGGGGTATTGTTTGCTTGTGGAAAAAATATTGAGTAGTTGAAGAGGCTAATGTCTGCATTCCTCCAAGTACTTATTATACCTTGGAGGTTTCCACTATACGTCCAGTTCCCAATGTTCCACCAAGGAGAATACAAAAAGAGCAAAGAACGAGGTTCAGGTTCTTTCAAGTCTTTCAAGTCTAACAATGCATTGTTCCTTTCTCTTTCAGTAAAATTTTCTTTCTCTGGACATTCTACTCTAATTGTTGACACGGGCTTACTATGTCGATATTGTTCCCACCTAGACAAAATGCTTTATACAATCTACTTCTGATGAAATGCCGTGCACGCGTCTTCAAAAATACTAAGGGCATCGATCTAGTCGCTTTAATTTCACCAAGCTAAGACTGCGGCACATAAACCGAGTTTTCAATGTCTAGATTTATGTTAAGTTATTCTCTTATGATCTGGTGTTTGAATAGGAGAAGGGGAAATGAATTTGTGCTTGGAGCATGTATTGACACGATCAAAAACTAGACGTGGGAATCAATTCCTAGAGATGACTACTTCCCCTTTGCTTTATCTATAGCAAACATCGCAAAACCTATGCAATAGAATCCTATAAGACCGGCACTATGAAATGAGTAAGCTACAAGGGCTGCTATAACTGTCTCTATAAGGAAATTAGACTGGCGTCTCAAGCATCTATAGTGTCTCGGTGGAACCGTTAATCGGTCCCCTTCTCGCCATTCTTAAGGTGGTAAGCAAGTTCGTCTATTTGTGCATCGTCCAGGTCGGAGACAAAAAAGGGCCATTCCGTCAGAATCATTTGTTTGGCGACGCGACGAGCATGCTCCGCCGCTGCAACGGCGGAGCTTGCAACATTCACTTCTGCTAGGGTGCTTCTCACATTCTGGTCCTGTCCCTGCTTGATTGCCGGCCCAGGCGCAATCAAGTTCTCGTCAGCTCCATCATCGTCAACAAGCGTCTCCCATAAGGGAAAGCGATAGCTGTCATCCCAAATTTGGTAGAAAGCCATTACCTCACGTGCGATATACATGTTTGACTTGCCTTCCGTTACCATCTTTGTTAACATCTCGTTTATGTGGTAGTCGCGTCCATACAATACCAGTTTGAGGAAAGCGCCGATAACATGACCTGGGACATTATTGAGAGCCCACAACTTGAGAACTCGCATCAGATGGCGAACGGCTTTGAGGTCCCAGATGATGCAGCTCTCACTCCTTTCGATGGCGGTTATGACAGCGGGATTCATGGTCTGCGTGAAGGATATGATAAGGGGTCGCAGAGTGTGCCAAGGGCTGGCCGGGTTCGGGGAGCCGAACGAGCTAGATGCAGGCTGGATACTTTTGTACATTTTGTCTTTTGCTTTGATATTGTGTTTGATGTTGTTCTTGGAAATTTGGTAGTGGTTGAAGTTGGGATTGAAATCTTGTTATAAAAACGGTTGAATGAAGTGTAGAAATCTGTGAAGATACTGAAGTAAAGCGGAACCTGGCGATGAGCTGACCTTAATACCTTGTCGGCATCTGCCATACAATGGCAGTCTTCATTGTTTACCGTGGATAAGAATAAAGCAACAAACAGCGAGGCTTGAGCATCTCCAGATATTTCGACCAAAGAACGCATTATCTGAAAATATCTTGTGTCATTGTACCTGCGGAAAGAGAATATGAAAGGATTTATCGGTAGCATGAGTAGCTCATTATCGAATTGGGCCTTTACAGTCCCTTTCATATCTAATACTATTGTTCTTCTGGTATTGAAAGAAATACTAGGCATAGTTCAAATTCCCACGCATTGAGTTACAGATACAGCGCTGAAGTATGTACATCCAAGAAAAATCAGTGTATGAGAGGAGTCAGTAGAAAAGATGCAACGCTCCATTAAATCACGTAGGGTGGAATCACAAGAAGAATGCGAGCCTAATGAGGCACGATGGGTATATACGCGCCAATAGGCAACGAAGCTGAAACAAATAATATGAAACGAAAAGGCCCAGAAGAATAGAGACAACAAAAAAGAAAAGAAGAAAGAATATTGTCTGTGGTCGTTGCTCAAAGCCACAAGATCCATCGTACACCTGAGAATGCACCTCGGAATACTCCGCGCGCAAGCTTGAATGCCATGACAATCAGCCACACCCACCAGAGCATCGCAACTAGGGCCCATTCCAAGACCATGAAGCCCGTTCGTCGGATCCAGCGTAGCCGACGGCGTCGCTTACGAATACCCATATCTAGGGCATCGCTGAGCTGCTTCACGGCGAGTGTGCTCGTGGTATTAAGCTGGACGCACATGTCCTCAGCATCGTTTGCTGTGGATCGGACGCGGGGAGTCAGGGAGTGGTTGACCAGGTCTTCCAGATTCTTGAGTTGATCGCGAAGAGGCGCGGATGTAGTCGTAGAGAAGTGATGCATAGACTGTTGGAATGAGTACTGGGTGTTTTCGAAACGCTGCAGAATCTTCTGGGCTGCTAGATCGAATTCACCCATTCGCGTGACTCTCGGAACGGATGTAGATGACAGTGCAGTAGGGCCTAGGGAAGCCTGAAGCCAGTGCGGGGCTGGTTCGCGGACTGCATGGGCTCGGCGAGTGATTTCTCGGGCTTTAATGCCGGACGATAGCAAGAGGGCTCGTGTGCGCTCAACTTCGGGCTTTCCAGGCACGCCTGTGTCGTTCAATGTGCGAAGGCTTCGCCCAGAGATGCTCCAGGCTCGACTAGAGCCTGAAAGTCCTGCGCGTCTCCCATCTGGAGATAGCCCTGGGGATGCACGGACATTAGCGAGACCAGTGACAGGAGGCCGTGTTAGACTGAAAGGAATAGATGGGTCATTAATCGCGTGTTTGGTCCGTTCAGTGTGTAGAGAAGGGGCGAAATCCAGAGTTTTACTGCGTGGCAGAGCAAAATTCTTGGGGAACTCATTGGAGTCTTGTTTTCGTGGAGAAGCCACCCGTTCACGAGGACTGCCAAAGTCGGTAGCTTCTGGGGCCTGGTTTCGTCCATTTTGTCGCAACGGAGAAGTGAAACTTGGCAGAGAGGGGATGAAGCTTCGGGATGAGACTTTCTCAGACTCCTTGCGAGGCAAACGCCCAGGCTCATCGGCAAATGTTGGCAGACGCTGCAACAGTCCTTTGGTGCCGGACTTCTTGTCCCCTCTGCTCTCGTCATCGGAATCGCTATCGTCCGAGACAAATGTAGTTGCGGATGACGATTTCCGTGAATCAGGGTATGTCTCTTTCTTTAAGATAAGGTCGCCAACCTTAGAAACTTCATTGCCCACGAGCTCTGCTATCCGACCTGGTCCTTTGAAGATTCCTCGAAGTTTTGATTCAGGAAGATGGATTCCCTTGCGGGACTTGTTTCCATCCATCCTACTCCCTTCAGATGTGCCTTGATCCTCTGTATAAGTCGATGACACGACATCTGGGAAGGGACTTGGCTCAAGCCTCGGGGCACCTTCCGCGCGCTCAGGAGATGTCACACTGTGTTGACGTGAAGCTTCGCTTTCAAGGAATTCATCTTCGCGCTGGAGGTCTCGTTGCTTGCTCTTGCTGCGTTCGTGGCGGGAGACAATCTTGTGACGAAGACCCTTCTTTGCCGGTGAGGGAGATCGACTTGAAGGAGGGGATAGATTGACTGCGATGCTCGGGAAATATCCAGCGTGCACAGGGGAGTTAGGTGCAGTGCTATCCATCCCTTCCAGAGACACTCGGGGATCGACTCGATCATCGAAACTGCCTGCTGATGAAAATGACCCCGTTCTGCGCTTCCGTCCCTGCTTTGTATTGAGCGGCAATGACTCAGAAGGCTGAGGTGTTCTTCCCCGATCAATGTCGGCAGGATGAGCAGCAGGTGATTTAGCACGGGATACTCGAGATGAAGATAAGTTCCGTGTAGATTTATCCACCAATTTGTGGACGTGTTCTCGAAGATATTCACGAGATATGCGAGGCTTTTCATCAATGGAACGGTTCGAATCCGAGCTTGTCGAGCTCGAGACACTGCCAGAACGCATCTTAACTTTATCCCACCGCGAAGGTTTCCGTACGCTAGAAGCACTGCGGCTGCGCAAGCTGTGTCTATGCCGTCCACGACCGACGCTTTTGAATTCATGGGCCAATGCAGGATGTGCACTAGACATTGAGGTACGAGGTGACGAGTGTGTATCTCCGGGCTCCTCCACATCAACAGAAGTCCGTGGTTTGTGTGCGGCATGGTCAGTGTGAGAGTTCATGATGATCAGCTGTGTCGAGTCAGGGTATAGTTTATAGCCATTCTTGTCGACCACCTTGGTCTTATTGATGCCATCTTCAAGCCAAGCGGCATCGGCCAAAAGCTCTGCGGGCGAAATCTTCCAATCAATGCGTGGCCGGCGAGCTTTCATGCTGCTAGTTCGACTGACACGTCGCAGGCTCGATGGAGGAGATGTAGCCACCATATCTATATCATCCTGGTCTCCATGCTGTACATGGCGGGGACCCTGCTGAAAAGGAGGCAACTTCAGAGATTCTAGTTGGTTATGCTGCCTTGAGCTGTATTTTTGCTCAACATTGCTGATCCATTGATGAACTCTTTCCACGTCGTGCCATCCTTCTGCGTCCGCATCAATAGAGCACCTTTCACGATATCTGACCTTGCGATTCCGAATCATTTGAAGTGGGTTGTAGTCTCGGTGGAGTTGCCTGGTTCTCGAAGACTCTACCTGGCTATCTTCGATGGCCTCGCGAAGAGGTGGCAGCAAAGGGAGGAGACGTACATATTCGTGGAATAAGTCAAAATGAGTGCGAGCTCTCTCAGCACGGGCCAGGGTGCTTTCGGAAAATTCATATGCTCGGTGGTCATCAACCGCAGACGGAGGTAGCAAGTTCACAACAGAAGACTGTTCAACGCTGGGCAGCGTCCCTTGTGACAGACGGTCGCCGGGAGATTGAGTGTAATTGCGAAATGCCGAGTCACGATGGAAGTTTCGCGCGTATGGAGACTGCGCATAGCTATCTCCTTGCGGGATGGCAGGTTGAGATACGGATATCGGCCTTCGGCCTCCTGCCCCTGGCGGTATACCAGAGGCTGTTCTCCTCCTAGACTCATTCAAGTTCAAAGCAAGGTTCACAATCTGAATTGAATCTCTATCGAGCCCAGGTGTTGACTGATCCGTGCTGCTTCTGTGTATCTCGGGCTGCGACGAGCCTCCAGAAGGCTGTCTATCAGGAGTGGAAGCTTGGCGAGCATTAGCCGGTGTTGGCGCGCTATCGACGGAAACTGATTCTGATGCATGTTGTTTATGTCGTCTCCAAGGAAATCGTGATCGTTTCTTGGGGACCACGATATCGGGTTCGGGGACGTTGCGCTTCTCCGCAGGAGGCTCCGATGGTCGAGGGCGGTGCAAGCTAACTCTTGTACTTTTCGAGCGAGGCAAAGAGTCAAGTAAAAAGCCACTTGAGCTTTGTGTCCTCCGCTGGCCCGGTGCCCTTCGGTCTCCTTCTCGGGAACTGCTGCCCAGTGTACTGCCCTCTAGCTCCCCACTAGCTCGTGCATCGTTCACATGGGGAGTGCTTTGGCGAAATGAGCCTCCTTCAGATCGTAATAAAGGTGAAGAGGGTCCTTCGGATCGGTCATACGGGCGTCCATTGTTAGGTGGCATTGAAGATCGCGCCGGAGATTCGTTCGGTCGTTGCGACATTGCGGCCAGAAGGGTAACGGTGCTAGATGGCCACGCTCGATAAAGAGACAGCGGACCTGGTTTGGCCAGACACGAGCATGGATGCGGTCGGCCAAGTTGGCAAGGATTCTAATGCCAGCGCAATTAAAAATAAGATTGCATGATCAACTTGCGCGACGTAACCCTCCGATGTAGATCGGATGCGCGTCAGCCAGTACGTTACGTAATCATTCTACTTGACCCTGGAAGTGACCAAAACAGAAAATGATATAACATCAAAGAGCCTTACAGATAATTTGAAACAGTGGATGAGATATACTAGATTACTTTAGGCTAGCCTGTGGCCCTATTGGACCAAAGGACATAGGGAATATCTAGCATTTGGGTCTAAAGCACAAGTACATCTAAAGGTACAGTTCCTGTAGAAGACGAGGATATACAGGGTAAATTGAAATCGACATCGCTCAACGCATGCGCTTACTCAACACGCAAGCACTGGAGGCGGGCCTCGGCCTCGATAACCTGTAGAAAAGACTGTTAGCGGATCTTATTCGACATAGAGTGAACAAACGAATGGTTACTCACCTCGAGAGCCTGCTTGACTTCGAGAACCCGGCGGACATCACCCAGCCAGTCCTTGCTGAGGATCTTGGCCCAGCCCTGGAGAGTATTCATCTCCCGAGCGGCGGCGTCAATATCACCCTGCTGCAACAAACTCTCGGTCCGGACCAGGATACTCTCCACATCATCGCCTTCCGACACGGCATCCTTCTTGAACATGACCTTGCTCAGGACAAGACTGGCAGCGTGGCTGGCCACACCGGCATCCTCGGGCAGCAAGCTAGCCTTACGGACTTCGCTGGCAACTCGGCGGAAGCGGTCGAAGATCTGGGTAGGTGAGGGGATACCACGCTGGTAAGCAGTGGGGTTGATGGAAGCAATGGCAGCCTCGACAACTGGATCGTCAGAGGCCAGCTCCTTCACAGCCACGAGCTCACGGATGAAGGGACGAGGGGTCTCGGCACGCTCAACTACGGTGCGGACGGCATCGAGGGCAACCTGAAGCTGCTGAGTCTTCAGGTTGGTGTCAATGACGCTGCTCCATCCGGCAGTCAAGTTCTCGAGTTCCTTGACGTCGGAAGTGAGCTCGTTCAGCTTACTGAGACGGCCCTCACGCTCACGCTCAACCAGGCCCTGGACCTCGTGAATGTACTTGCGGTTCAGCTCGATGGCCTGCTCGACGAGCTCGTTCTGAAGACGCTGCTCGGCAAGTTCTTGGGCGTGACGGAGCTCGGTGGAGACCTTTTGCTGGTATGCTTGGGCGAGCTTCTCACGCTCGGCCTCGAACTCCTCCCGGAAGGAGGCAAGGTCGGTGGAGCGCACCTCCTCGAATTGACGAATCAATTCCCGTGCGGACTCATCGAAGGTGGCGTGGGCTTTGTTGATCTCCTCCTGGGCGGTGTTGCGAGCCTCGCTACGGATGGCAGAGATCTTCTCACCAATCTTCTGCAGCTCTCCTTTGGCCTTGGCGACAGGCGCAGAGTACTTGCTGGAGTTCTCATCGGCGCTGATTACTGTAACAATATCGTTGAATGTCTTGACCAGGTCCTGGACAACAGAGTCGTCGCCATCCTGTATCTGCAGCAATTCAATGGTGCTAGCAGCAACAGCTGGTTGTCTGGGCTCCTCCAGGGAAACAGGCTTAGTCTCCTCAGGCTTAGTCTTCTCAGGCTTAGTCTCCTCCTTAGAGGCGGTCTTCGAGGCCTTGTCATCCTTGGCCTTCTGGATTGCAGCCATGCGCTCTTCGGGCCTGGCGGTTGCGGACTTGGTTTGGCCCTCATGGGCACTGGCATCTGTCTTGGCCTTACTGTTGGCGTTTTCTTCACCAGCCACCTTCCAAGACAATCCGCTCTTGCTAGGGATTGTGACAGCGGTTCCTTCTTCTCTGGGGGCAGTCGGAAGACGGTTCTGGTGTCTCGAGGCATTGGGGAAGCGGCGGTAGAAGTCACGCTCCTCGAAGTATAGGACGCAATCTTCGCCGTAGGGGATGTACTCGGTGAAGAAATCGTGGAAGTTATCGGACTTCAGGGCGAGGAAGATGCTGCCGCCGTAGGCAAGGCCGGAGGTGAGGATCAGGTAGATCAAGAAACGACGGAAACGTCCGGTCTTGCGGGGAGCAGGCGGGGGAGGAAGCTTGGATTCTGCGATAGCATCACATTAAAATTTAAGAGAAGATGACATTGCCGATATAGGAAGGGTCGTCATACCTTCAGCAGCCTTCACAACAGTCTCGGGAGGAACACTGGACTGGGAGGAAGGGGAGACTGGGGTCGGGCCACCGGTAGTAGGAGGCTTAGAATCGGCAAAGAATCGCTGCGCGTGATAATTGTGGTTAGAGGTGAAATTGGAAGCACGTGTTGTATCTTCTTACCTGACCGGCGAGTCGGTTGCTTGCACCGGCTCTAGACAGCCATTGCGACGGAATCCGTTGACGAATAGGGTTTGACAGCAATTGCCGACCCGGAGCAATCGAAGAGCGCAGCATGACGAGCCACACAATCGCCAAAAAAAGTGGCTAGAAGTGATCAGAAAGGTGGATGGGTAGGAAAACGGGAACTTGGATGCTCAAGTTGCGATCCGCTCCGATGATCCTGCGGGCGGTCAAGGTGGCTTCGCGCACCTCATGCCCACTCCAGCTACACATTGGGATTAGAGAAAGTGGTATGATGTCTAGATAAATAATCCAAAACTACTAGGAGGCAAGCATCTGAGATATAAAATCGTAATACACCGGCGTTCCCCTTGGGTCAAGCCATCAAATTTGAAGTAGAAGCTATCCCGAACAATATATAAGTTATCGAGTATCCAAAACATAGTAACACTCAATTGCTAGAATAAAACCAGGCATTTGATCTACACATCACTCCGGCCAAGGTGAAGGCAATATTGCTTCAGAGAATCAGCCGTAAAATCACCCGACCACTCAATATTAGTCGTTCACGTACATACAAGTTGAGGAAATGTACTGTATTATTTGGGCATAACATACTAAGAATCTTGAGAGACAAAGAAAGGGTAACGGGAATAGCAGGAAATTCAACCCAAGGTGACATAGGAGAGAGAAAAGCAGATGCAGACGCCAGGTTGGAAAAACAGGATTACAGGGGAACAGCACCGTCAAGCACAGAAAAATCCTGCCGTAGCATGTCTAAAGCCAAATTTCCATATGCGTCCATGGAATTCAAATCTCTCTGTCAGTGGCAGACTTGACAGCCCCAGTTGAACCGGCCTAGCAAGGACAAAAAGAATCAAAGAAGAAACCGAGAGGATGAATCGAGAGTCTACCTCACGGCTCCATAGCGGTTAGGAAATGACGCCAGAGCCTGATCAAATGAGATAGGCGAATTCATAGAAAGTCACAGAGTTATACCACCGTCGGACGATGCTGGGGTGGGTAGCCTTCACCATCTCGGACGGTGAATTGAGCAAGCAGAGTGCCCAATGATTTGTTTAGCAATTGCATGCACCTGCACCCTGGGTGCCTGGAGCCTCAGGGCGCAAATCGACACCGGGCCGAGGAGTCGTCCGAAGGTTCCGAGGACCGGCCTGGTCCAAGGGCAACTTCTTCGCGATGGCGGTGAACAGTTCCTTGACATTGGTTGAAGACTTGGCGGAAGTTTCGAAAAAGAGTAGACCGGCTTCACGTGCGTAGGCCTCTGCATCTGCGGTTTGGATCGCTCGCTTATCGGGGCTCTCGGTGACGAGATCCAACTTGTTGCCTGCCAGGGCAATCACAATGTTCTCATTTGCTTGGCGCTGAAGCTCCTTTACCCATGACTTGGCCTTGTCTAGCGACGACTGTTAAAAATTAAAGGTTAGCTTCCACACGGGGAATCCAAGGGACGGAGAACCATACAGCTTGGGTGATGTCATAGACAACGACGGCACAGTTGGCATTTCGGTAGTACATAGGAGCCAGCGACTTATAGCGCTCTTGGCCGGCAGTATCCCAGATTTCAAACTTGACTGTGGTACTCTCATCGAGGGAGATGGTCTGTGTCAGGAAAGCGGCTCCGATCGTCGACTCGCGGTAATCATCGAATTGGTCCTGATCCGACGGTTAGCATCAGAAGGCTCCATTTATCCTTGGATCGCCGCGGGAGGTGATCGGGCGATTATTGAGGTCTCACTTTAACAAATCTCAGGACCAGCGAACTCTGAAAGATAGCGGTCAAGTTAGCGGCTGATAAAGAGGATCGCGAGAGGTATCCCAAACCTTTCCGACAGCAGATTCTCCTATAAAACAACATCAGCAAACTGTATACAGACCAGAGAGGAAATCAACAAGAGACTTACCGAGAAGGACGAGCTTAAACTGGGCGAAACGTGCACCCGGGCGGGCAGCTGGTTGTCTGGAAGCCATGCTGATCAGGGGAGGATGGAGTCCGGGGTAAGGTGGAGCGAAGGCACAAAGACGGGGGAAGTTGTCTAAGGTCTGATATATCAGATCTCAACACCAGAAGAAGAGAAGATGGTTAACGGAAATAAGGCTAAGGTCCCTTAAGGCAGACAGGAAATAGATGACGGCAGACCCAGCCACAGGAGCAGCGGGGCGGTGTGGCTGACTTGACCAGACAAGTGTGGTCCTGTACCTGCTTCGGCTTCATGCGTTTCTCCTATTCTCTTCTTCTTCTTCTTTACTTCATTTCGGGACTATGGCACCTCCTATTCTCCCATTTCGGGATATCAATCTCCATGCGTCGCCTTCTCACTATGCGTTCACTTCCCCCTCGTCGCCCCAGGCACCCACTCTTGTTGTTGACAGACCAACTGGTGACTTGCGGTTGAATGATGGTCCTCTTTCAGGCGCCAAGCGCATTTCCAGTATCGCGGGAATCCTAGGAATTCTCAAACTGAAGCTCGGTAAGTGCGATCTCATCTAACCCGAGCTTGCGCTGACAAGGACAGACAAATACATCATTGTCATCACCAAAGCACAGCCTATGGGCCGATTGCGCGGCCACATGGTCTACAAAGTCGCAGGAACAGAATTCCTTCCTATGCGAGAACGCCCACTGCATGACACCGACGAAGATGCCTACCTCACACTGGTCAAGAACCTCCTGCGAACTGGACCTATGTACTTCTCCTACTCGCTCGACCTCACAAACAACTTCCAGCGACAATCCCAGACTGCGCCCAACATTCCCATGTGGAAAGGCGCAGATGACCGCTTCTTCTGGAACCGTTTCATTCAAACCGATCTCATCGATTTCAGTCAAGGCGAGAACGACAAGAGTGGAATTCGCTATGGCCCCCAACCAGGGGCTGACCCCTACATATTGCCGGTGATGTTTGGCATGATGCGCATTACTCCAGCCCGAGTCAAGGGAACCTCTTTCACCTTTGCGCTTATCACCCGACGATCTAGACATAGAGCCGGAACGAGATACTTCTCCCGTGGAATCGACGAGGAAGGCCACGTCTCGAATTACAATGAGACAGAACAGGTTGTGATCTTGAACGACTTGGCAGGTGGGCTTTCTGGGTTCGCTGGTGGTCAATCCATGACCAACGGTAAATCTGGGCAAGACCTCCAGGTTTACTCTTTTGTGCAAACCAGAGGAAGCGTGCCAGTGTTCTGGGCCGAGGTCAACGATCTAAAATACACACCAAAGCTTCAGGTTCGCGGTGTTGAGACTGCTGTCGAAGCTGCTCGCAAGCATTTTACCGAACAGATTCGCATTTATGGAGAGAACTACATGGTCAATCTCGTCAACCAAAAAGGCAGGGAGGAGCGTGTGAAACGGGCATACGAACAGCTGGTTCGGACACTGGTCACGACTGCTTCCGAAAGCACCGAAGCTGATCAAAGAACCCCTGAGAAGATTCATACCTTAGAACCAGGTCCCAAGCAGAAAGAGATGGACCGCCTACACTACGTGTACTTTGATTTCCACAACGAGACCAAAGGACTCAAGTGGCATCGCGCAGAGCTGCTGATGAGCCGCTTGAATGACGGGCTGGCTCAGGGGGGTTACTTCCGTGGGGTAGAAAGCCCCGGTGCGCCTGGCGGGCAGCTGGATACTCGTTCCACGCAAACAAGCGTTGTCCGGACAAACTGTATGGATTGTCTCGACCGCACCAACGTTGTGCAGAGCATGCTCGGACGATGGGCGGTAACACGTCAACTCATTGATGCAGGGGTTCTTCGCACAGGAGAGAATGCTAACGACGATCGAGAATTCGAGGACTTGTTCCGGAACATCTGGGCAGACAACGCTGATGTGGTCTCCAAGTCCTATTCCGGCACTGGTGCTTTGAAGACTGATTTTACGCGAACTGGCAAGCGTACTCGTGCTGGCATGTTGCAAGATTTGAACAATTCTATCACCCGATATGTCCGCAACAACTTCATGGATGGCCCTCGACAAGATGGCTTCGACGTGTTTTTGGGCACCTACCTTCCCTCAGACTCGACCTTTGGCAATATCCAGCTGTTCATTGACCAACGACCTCTTGTCATCCAGGCCATTCCGTATATTCTCGCTGCTAGTGTGTTCATGGTGCTAGTTGCTCTTTTCACTAGACGAGTGCCTGATGCCGCTGCTTGGCCTCTTCGCCTGTTTATGATTTTCTGGTTCCTTGTCGCAGCCTACTGCTTCCGCTTCGTCCACGGACACGGCATGCTCTACGTAAGTTTATCACATAAGTTTGACACCACCCAACTAACGTCTATCAGGTCAATTGGCCAAAGCTCAACACACCTGTTGCCGGTGCCGAAGGTTACCAGGATGCCCTCATCAAAGCGAAATCTGACCCTCTAATTGGCCAATGGCTCCCCGCCAGACGCCACCAACGTGGTATCAGCAATGCCCGCCTTGTTTTCCTCGAGGAGGGCAAGACCAGGATTGAGTGAAGCCTCAGTCGCTCTTTCATCCTCTGTTTTCATATTCTGTACACCTCACGGCTGCATGTTTTATTACCTTGTTTCACCACCACTGGCCCCTCGGTTCTCTTTTCTTTGACGTTGCACCCTTTTAATTCTCTATCATATTCTTGATGCATTTCTTATGTCGCCTCGGATGCACTTTTCAGCTGTATGCTGCAGGCACCGTGTTCCGAAATTAGTTCATTACGCCATCGATGTGCTTAGAATTCCAGGTAGATGTCATATCCAGCCAAGCATAGCCAATACCCAATTATCCGACTCGATTTTATACTCCGAGAAGTTGTGTAAGATAAGAAGCACGTGATCTTCCCGATCCCGCAGTCAACGGTTTCCCGAGGAGAGGAATGACCATAGAACGATAATCTTTAGAGCTGCCGGGGTTCCTTACTACAACCCGCCTGCTCATTTGAAATTGCAGGTACGGGCTTGAATTGCCTATGAGAACATTCCGAGTCTCTTTTTGCTTCCAGTTTTCCGCTCGGCGCCGAGTCTCGACTCATTCGCCCGCTATGACTCGTACCTACGAAGTATGCTTCCGAGCTCCCACAGTCTAGCACAAGGATATACTCGCGATTGAGATATATTAAGTACTAACATTTAACCCTATTAGGCTGCGATCTCGGCTCTTAACTCTTTGCAGACCAACTTTGCGATTGTGGAGCAGGTTCGCAAATCGGGGAAGGCCCTGAATGAGCTCTCTCTCCCGGAGACAGTTGAATGGCTCCGTTGCATTGGATACACGGTGCGAAATTGCAGAGCAGATCGCTCTTTGAAAAATTGCTGATCTGACAATACTAGCCCTCCGATCTTAACCGATTAAACGCAATCCACGTTGCCGGAACGAAAGGCAAAGGCTCGACCTCTGCATTTATCTCTACGATCCTCTCTCAATACACCAAAGAAGAGCCCAATCAGCCCACACCCAAATTCAACAAAATCGGCCTATACACCTCCCCCCACCTACGGTTCGCTCGCGAGCGCATCCAGATCGATAACGCCCCATTATCTGAGGAGAAGTTCGCACGTTATTTCTTCGAAGTATGGGATCGCCTTGAAGAAGCCGCCAAGCTGGCGGGAAAGGAACCCGATGCCTGGGGATCGAAGCCTCAATATTTCCGCTACCTTACACTGATGGCGTTCCACACATACCTAAGTGAGGGCGTGGACGCTGCAGTTATTGAATGTGGAATTGGTGGGCAGTACGATTGCACCAATGTGATTGAGCAGCCCAAGGTGGCAGCTGTTACCAGTCTTGGTATCGACCATACTGCCATGCTGGGAACTACCATTGAGCAAATCGCATGGCACAAGGGTGGCATTATCAAGCGGGGCGCAAGAGCTTTCGCGGCCCCGCAACCCACCAGCGCAGAGGAGGTCTTGGCTAAACGTGCTGAGGAGGCGGGCACTCAGTTGGATATTGTGCGCGGTCATCCCGAATTGCGCCCTGAAAACAGCCAGGTGAAACTTGGATTAGCTGGAGATTTCCAGTACACAAATGCTTCCTTAGCCGTAGCAAGTGCCGCAGAGTACTTGCGCAAGGTTGGCGTGGCCGATATCCCCGAGGATATCATGAATGCACCCCTCCCGGCGAAGTTCAAGACCGGCCTTGAGCAAACTCGTCTAGGTGGCCGGTGTGAGACCCGGTTCGAGAAGGATGTCGCGTGGTATATCGATGGCGGACACACCCTGGAGAGTATCCGGCTGGCTGGGCAGTGGTTCGCCTCGCGAATCGAAGCCGACTCATCCTCCGAGGAACTCGCCGCCAAGAAGACCCGGATCTTGATCTTCAACCAACAGACCCGTGACAGCACTGCTTTGGCCCATGCCCTTTATGAGACCCTCGTAGCTGCCCTTGGATGTGATGCCCCATTCACCCATGTCGTCTTCTGTACGAATGTCACATACAAGTCGGCGGGCTTCCGGCCTGACTTGGTCAGCATGAACACAAATGCCGACGATCTTGAGCTCCTCCGCGTCCAGAAATCTCTCGCAACGGCGTGGAATGCCGTTGACCCGAAGGCCCAAACACACGTCTTTGGTACCATTGAAGAGGCAGTCGATTTTGCTCGGGAAGTTGCTGGCCAAGAACGCGAGGATCTGCGGAAGGATGAACCGCCCGTCATGACTTTTGTCACTGGCAGCATCCACCTGGTTGGAGGATTCCTTGATGTGGTCGAGACCAAGCCCGCCAGTGAGGCCTAATTTCCTGATGATTGGTAGCCCGGAGCTCCAACTAGTCTTTAATTCTTGTATCAACACTTGAGATATGCTTTAGCAAGTGGACATAAGAGGTGTTTGTGGATTTCAACAATTTCTCCATTCCCAATGCATATGAATACCCATTTTAATATCATTAGCCACTTGTGAGGTCACATAGTCCACGGAGTATTACCGAGGCTGACGGCGTAGGCCACGGAGTTCGGAATCTAGCAGGGGTTAGTAGAAAAGACATAAGCAAATTAAATGACCTAATATGGACTAGCAATTGTAAATCTCACACACATAAATAGGATAAGAATATAGCTTCATTGTTCATGTAAGCCCATTATTAAAGCAGCCCACCATCCGCGGCGTCTGAAACGTGGGGCCCGAATCAATTCCTCCTTCCACAACTACCTATACAGCCATGTCGGAACCCAATAAGGGCAAGGCCCCTGCAAATGACAGTAAGTTCATACATGAGGCCAGATATGCAGCTGCTGATATTCTTCAGATTCCGAAACAGGAAAGAAGGTCGACCCAAAGCTCGTCGCCGCTCTCTTGGACCAGAACCCCGCCCTCAAGAATGAGATTGCCAACATGGATAAAGACCAGGCCGCATCGATGCTGGCCAACATGGACCTCTCGCAGCTGCTGACCGGACTGTCAATGGGCGGCAAGAACCAGAAGGACATGGCCTCTTACAAGTTCTGGCAGACACAACCCGTCCCCGCTTTCAACGAAGCCGGCAAACAGGCCATCCAGGGCCCAATCAAGCAGATCGACCCGGAGAAGGTGTCCAAGACCCCTGACCCGCTCGTTGAGGGCTTCGAATGGTGTACTCTGGACCTGACCAACGAGGAGGAATTGAAGGAGCTTTATGAGCTGCTGAACAACCACTACGTGGAGGACGACAACGCCATGTTCCGCTTCAGTTATTCGCAATCCTTCTTGCACTGGGCCCTGATGTCCCCGGGATGGAAGAAGGAATGGCACGTCGGTGTGCGAGCGAGCAAGTCGCGCAAGTTGGTCGCCTCGATTTGCGGTGTTCCGACCGAGCTCCGTGTCCGCGGGGAGCGCATCAAGGTGACGGAGATCAACTTCCTGTGCATCCATAAGAAGCTGCGCTCCAAGCGCCTGACCCCGGTTCTGATTAAGGAGATCACCCGCCGCTGCTACGTCGACGGTATCTTCCAGGCCATCTACACTGGTGGTATCATCCTCCCCACTCCCGTCAGCTCCTGCCGGTACTACCACCGTGCCCTGAACTGGTTGAAGCTGTACGATGTTGGCTTCTCCCCTCTTCCCCACGGCTCGACCAAGTCCCGCATGGTCACCAAGAACCACCTCCCCAGCAACACATCGACCCCCGGTCTGCGCCCTATGGAATCCAAGGACATCGACGCTGTATATGATCTGCTGGAACGGTATATGCGCCGCTTCGATTTGAACCAGGCTTTCACCCGCGAGGAAATCGATCACTGGTTGGTCTACAAGGAGAAGCCTGGTATGGATCAGGTTATCTGGTCATATGTCGTTGAGGACTCCGAGACACACAAGATTACCGACTTTGTCTCTTTCTACAACCTTGAATCTACCGTGATCGACCACCCTAAGCATGGCGCCGTCCACGCTGCTTACCTGTACTACTACGCGACCGAAACTGCCTTCTCCGACGATAAGGGGGCGTTGAAGGAACGCCTGCAGTTGTTGATGAACGATGCCCTGATTTGTGCTAAGAACGTATGTTCACCTTGACTATTGTATTTGATGTTATATACTAACCCATTATTTTAGGCCAAATTCGATGTCTTCAACGCTCTCACATCGCATGACAACCCTCTCTTCCTTGAAAAGCTCAAGTTCGGCGCCGGCGATGGCCAGCTCCACTTCTACCTGTACAACTACCGCGCTGCGCCCATTGGCGGTGGAATCAACCAAAAGAACTTGCCCGACGAGTCGAAAATGGGTGGTGTTGGTATTGTCATGCTGTAGTGGCCCTTTTGGCGAGTGGATCTGAATGGATACCCCGACGAATTTCCTTATGTATCTTGCTAGCGATTACCACAATCAAAATGCATGTATAAAGTATTCATGGATCCTTAGATACTAGTGTTTTATCTTGTGCTTTGTATATGTTCTCTTCTACAGTGTTGTAGGCCGAAAGAGTCTAGATTCCGGCCTCAGGCACTAGCTGTCGTCACATGCTCCACTCTCCACCTTCACTTACTCCAGAACTGTTGACTGACACTTTTACATGTACTCTGTCTTCAACTTTGACTTTATATCTTACACATCACGACTGCTACTGTGATTCAAGTCAGTTGTCGGCCATTAGCGTGGTAGACCCCGCATTGCAACAATGGGAGCGGCTCAGTCGAATGAGCATGGTGCATCAACACCAGGTGAGTCTTGCCCTTTCGTTTATGATCCAATATACAAGAAAGTCGAATGCCATAAGTTCTGTGTCTGCTTCTACACCGGACCACTATGACCCACTCTTTTACATGGGATGCTTTTCATGCCATCAATATGAACCAACATATGTACTAACCCAAACAGAGGAGTTGAGTTACGTGCTCGCCGAGCGCTTCGCCACAAAATGCTTTACACCATTAGAGCTCACACATTTCAAAGACAACTTCTTCTCCCGCGCCGCAGAACAGGGTGGTCTGCGATACTGGAATGAGCAGACCCTGTCCGCTTTCTTGGCCATCCCAGATTCCCAGGATCTCTTCTTAGATCCCGGTCCAGTCATCTTCCGCATGCTGTCGTACCTAGGCAGTTTCCCATTTCAGAATACGCTTGCACCTACAGTTTTGACCTTCGAGGCTATGGTCAAGGTTGTTGTGCTTCTAACTGAACGCTACGAGAAAGTGCTTAAGCGGGGTCGGAAAGATCGCATTAAACTGATCTTTGGATCATTGGCTGATGTGGCGAGACGGCCGCCTGTTCCTACTTCCCCTAAAGAAGACGATGCTAATGGATCTACGACCGAGAATGCTGAAGCGACTGCTCCTGTTCAATCGCATTCGCTGGGATTCTCAATAGATGAACCGGCGAACGATGAGTATGATGAAGACGAGGATGATGATCTTGCTCTTGCGGCATTGGAGTCTCTTGATGCCATTGAAGTTTTCAAACATGACCATCGTATTGATAAGACGGTCTATGAGACTGGGATTTCTATTGCTACCTTCCGGCGGTTGCTTATGCTGTTGCTTGTCATTGCACCACTCAGACCATTGGAGTCCGTCAAGGTCTATACATCTGATTTTGATGGTAAGCGAATGGAGGCAATTCGCAAAGAGGCAGACAACATTATTGCAGCTTTCTCGCCGGAAGAACGAGATGTTGGAATCTCGTACAAGTCTTTTGCCAGAACTATATCGCTGTCTCTGCCGTATCTCTTTGATCCACTGACTGCTTTGTTCGAGCATATGCTTTTCAGCAAGAACTTGGATCTCTCCCAACGCCGACAAAAGGGCCTCACTCCGGAGACAGAGGAAGAGGATGCTGAGAAGCCCGAAGAGCCACTCCCACCACCAGCTTCAATCACACTCCCAGGCAGTTTCGAATCAGCAATCTTAAACCCAACTGTTGTATCCCATCTCTCATTCTTCCTCCCGTCAACATCACCAACCCTGAACCTCTTCCGCAGCGGCATTAAGCTGCATCCAGTCTTCTCAACAAACGCCCACGGCTCCTCCCTAACCTCCTTCTCCCACCACGTCATGACCTGGCAATCTGCCACCCTCCTCATCCTCCAAGGGAACCAAGAAGGATCCTCAGACGAGAACCCAATAACACTAGGCGCCTACATCCCCCAAACCTGGAAATCCCCTTCTTCAAGCACATCCCAACCCTCCTCGACTAAAGCAGACCCCCTCCCCTGCCTCTTCCAGCTATCCCCCAAACACACCCTGCTCCCAGGAAATCCCTCCCCATCCCAAACAAACCAAAACACCCCAACAGCCTACTTCTCCACCCAAACAGGAATAGCCCTAGGCTGCCAAATCCCCCCACCATCCCGGAGCAACAAAGCCTCCCCAAAACCGCACGGCGCAGGAAGTCTCCTCATAGACTCAAACCTCGAAACAGCAACATTCCACACTGCACCCATCGGCCACGATGGCGTCTTCCTACCATCACCTACTACATCCCTAGAAGACGCACCGAAGACGATCAAACTTGATCTATGGACCCTCGAGATCTGGGGTATTGTGCCTAATCCCGAAGAAGCATTCGCTACAGAGCCTGGATCTAGTGCTGTGGAGATGCAGCGTGCTAAGTGGGAGTTTGAGGCTAAGGAGGCGGAGCGGAGGAGGAATATTAATCTTAAGGCTGGGGCCGGGGATTCGGCGGCTGAGAGTGCTCGGTGGCTACTTGAGGCTGCTGGGATTGTTGGGGATCAGGGGAGACATTCCGGCGGGAGTGTTTGATGGTTTATCTCTTGTTTCTATTGGTTCTAGCTTTTGGTTGGGCTTGATTGGATCAAGCCTCATGGGTATAGCTTTTGCGTATTGGCGTTACTGGTGTTACTTTTCTTTTTGGTATTGGGTCAACATTCAATCGATATCATTTACCTGCCTGATGAGTTTGGTTCATGGGTGAGACGTGATATAGGAGGGATTGTGCATCAACTAGACGCAACAGCTTCGACATTCAATAATCGTACATTAAACAAGCGAGACAGGAAGACATAGCCATATGCTGCCACATATTATACAAAAATCAATCCAGAGACACACTCGAGGTTCACAATCCGAGTGCTGAATCTCCAGCATCTTCAAATCGAAGACGGGTCAATTCTCGTCGGATACTCCACTACCACAGAGCCGGTCTGCTTGTAATTTTCGAGTAGTCAACATGCCCAAGGTACAATAACAGATTGGCCCATGGCAGGTTTATGAGATCTCATGACAAAGACTTGGCGCGACCTCAGATGCCTCTAGATGAATACAATCCTATAACAATATCACGTCTTCAACGGTGGTAATCCATACGGCGCATCATAGAAGTCCTTCAACTCATCTTCATCTTCCTCCTCGAATTCGAATGCAGAAGTCTCAACCTCCGACTCTTCATCAGCAAGCTGGACACGGGAAAGACGGCTGCGGGTTCCAATGTTTGAGGCGGGCGTTCCCTCTGATTCAAATGGCTCGTGGGATTCCTCGCGAGGTAAACGCATGGCCAGGAAGCCGTCTGGGGCACGCTCGGCGCGGTCCATGATTTCATTCATGTATTTGCGGACTTCGTCTGCTGGCTTGACAACTCGAGCGAGTGGTTCGAGGATTGTTGCGCTTGGTGAGTGGATGCGGAATGTGACTGGTTGCCAGTATTCCTTGAGGTTTGCATCGTTGATAGGAGTACCCGATGCCTCTGGCATTGCGGAATCCGTTGGTTCCTGTTTTTGAGGCGTCCCGGCTGATTGGTTCGGGGTTTGGGGTCCGGCTGAGTCTGTTCCCTTCCCAGCCTTGCCCTTCGGCTCGCCTTTCTTGGTTTTTGGTGCGCTCTTACCTTTGCTTCGGGAGTTGCCTGCCTCTGTGGATGTTTCAAGAGGGAATGGTGTGTTTGGATCAACCTTCCGTACTACCAAGAAGGATGCAATGACTGTGTTTTCGTCTGGGAGCCATTCGAGAATCGTGTGTTCAGGGAACAGATAACGGTCACCTGAGCCAGCGTGGCCTGAAGTAGCATTTCCGTAAGGTGTTAAGGGGGATGTGAATTCGAAAACCACAGCTTTGTAGCCCACACGCGGGGGAGGCAGCGGAGCCACCGGAGAACGGTAGAAGGAATTGGATGTGCCATATTGCGGCGGGCGAGATTGGATCGGAGTTTGTGATCCGTAGGCTGGTTGTGGGTATGGAGGGTATGGCGGTCCTGGCCGTGCTGCTGCCTGCGGGCGACTGGCTGGCGGTGGAGTGGGATTTACTGCAGGGCTTTGCTGCTGACCCGGGGTGGAAGCAGGAGCTGGGGTGCTTGCATTGCCACCAGCTGTGGATGGAGTTGGCGCAGCCTGGGAATCTTTGTCGGTCAGAGTTGTTGATTCTTGCTTGATCATCGCCGGCCCAGTGGAATTTTGGGGATTAGCTGGCTTTTCTGCGGAGGCCGCAGGGGGATGAGGTTGTGTTTTGGCCTGAGCAGGTGGCTGCTTAGCCGGTGTGTTTGTATGAGTTGCAGGCTGCTCCTTGGAGGTTGACTTCGCGTCGCCATCCTGTTTTGGCTGAGGCTGAGGTTGTGGTGTGGATTGGGCTTGTGGAGCTGGAGTTGCTTGTTGGGGACTTTGCTGCGGTTGAGTGGGTGTCGCAGAAGCCTGCTGACGTTGCTCTTGTTGCTCCCTCGATTTGATGATGGCGTTCAGTTCGTCAATGTGTGCCTGGAAAGCTCGAAGTTGTTCTTGGGATGCCTGGCTCGAGGCAACCACACGCATCAATGCCTTCAGCTCGGGATCTGCTGCAGCTCTCGTAGCCAGCATCTGAATCACAGGGTCCGGGCTCGGCTTGGCAGGCTGGCCATTGGGTCCCTTTTGTCCCTGTTGTGGCCTTTGTCCACCTTGAGGGGACGGGGCATTGCCTTGATTCGGGCCACGGGGTTGCTGGGCCGGAGGATGACTTCCAGAGTAACCAGGACGGCCTGCAGGGACGGGTGAATATTGATTCGGCCGCTGAGGATTGGATGGGGAAGGGTACGGGCGGTATTGTTGGAAGTTGTTGGGGTGGCCATAATGCACCATCGGTCTTTGCGGGGACGCATATTGTAGAGATGGTGGAGCATTGGGATCTTTGACAGTGTAAATCATGGCATCGAAAAAATGAGGGCCAATGGTGATGTCGCAAGGGCCAACTTTCGTCATGCTATCCTTTGGCGGGTTGTTCCTTTCAATTTGCTCACGCTTCGTCTTCTTGGGCTTCGTGAAGTATCGAACAAGGATGCCGTCGCTGAGCCATTTCTTTTTAGATCGTTCGAGTGCGGCCAGAAGGACTCCGCTATAGATTTAGAACAAACACTGTCAGTAATGTGTGCACAGTAACATGGATCGCGATCTCGTACCTTTCGGCGATTGATTGGTACTCCTTGTCGGACAGAGTCAGTGGTTGTCGCGCGCGAAGAACAGGTAAACCCTCAACATCCTTGAGGCTGGTAGGTAAAGGCGCGTCCACAGGTTCTAGCGGGGATGGAGCGCGAGGAGTTGGTGCCTTTTTCTTGGTTGACTGAGGCGCGGCTTCGGAGACACGTCTTTTGGCCGCCGATTCCCGTCGGTCACGCGGCGGAAGTCTGCGCTTTTCAGCCATCACAGTTTCAATGAGATTAGGGCGCCAATGATAGTGGTAGGATTGTAATCATAGCAAAGGAGATGAGGGAGATGAGGGAGATGACAAGAAGGAGGAGGTGGAGGTGGAAGGGAGAAAAGCGAGACGATAAAGAGCTTATCGCGCGCACCCTATCTCTCCTCCGCTCACCTCCGCATGTCAACACGAACATCACCTCACAATGGTTGAGCTCAAGCCCATTTTCAGGAAGGCCTACTGGTCTCTGGCCGCTGGTGGTCTGATCTATGTGCTCTTTATCTGCGCCTTGACTTTCCCAGAGGTTCAACGTTTGTACGTACCCCCCCCAGTGCGCAAAGACTGAGCTAACTAGATGATTTAGTTGCCTCTATGCCAATAAGATCAACCCCAGTCTGTGGCAGGATGTGAACCTCGTCGAGCAATTTGGGTTCCTAAGTATGAACTATGAGCACCTCTAGCTGTTCCTTGCTAACACTCTACAGGGACCCAAGTTCAGCCTTTCAATTTGGTGACACCTGATAACGAAACGATCTACGGGTGGCACCTGATCCCCTTGCATCTTTGCCATGAGCATGAAGAGGAGCTGATGGAAAATGCTGCGTCGGGTCCAGCAGATGATTATACCCAAACGACTGCCTTTAAACTCCTTGCCAATGACCCAAATGCACGAGTTGTTGTAAACTGTAGGTAGCTCGCAATCTGAGATCGAAGATACTAAGATATGCTGACATCGAAACCTAGTCCACGGCAATGCGGCTCACCTGGGCTCTGCTCAACGCCCTGCCACTTACAATACACTGCTCAGCCTCTCTAGCCCTTCCAACCCAGTTCATGTCTTTTCCATTGACTACCGTGGATTCGGCGTGAGCACTGGTAGCCCCACAGAAGAGGGTCTTATCACAGATGGTGTGACTCTGATTAACTACCTTACAGCAGGACCATTGAAGATCTCACCTTCGCGCATTGTCCTTATGGGCCAGAGTCTTGGGACTGCTGTTACAGCTGCAGTAGCTGAACGCTTTGCATTTGGATCGCCTGACCCTAAAGCTATTCAACCAGCCATAAAGAATGCCGAGCCTTTCGCTGGCGTCGTCCTTTTGGCATCATTTGGTAGCGTGACCAGCGTCATTGAAAATTATAGCCTCAAGGGTATCACACCTCCAATGTTATCCCCTCTTATGGGATATCCTCGCTTCCAGAGATGGGTGTTGAGTCATATCGTGGACCACTGGGACACAGTTGGAAGAGTGGCGCGTCTCACTGGCGTTGAACCAGCAGAGGCAGACGCTTCTGGTGTGAAGTATACCGACAAGAGTCTTTATCTGACAATTGTTCATGCGATGGATGATGTCGAAATACCTTGGTATGAAGGACGCCGTGTATGGGTGGCTGCCACTGGCGAAAACATTCCAGGTGCTCCTGGTGGCTTGATATATCACAAAGTTGAAAGGGACAACCCAAGCGAAATTAAAGTCTGGAAAAATCCAGTCAGTAGTGAGGTTTTGAAGACAGTTAGGTGGGAACGGGTGGGACACGGCGGTATGTCCAGAAATGCTCTGGTTCTAATTCATCAGACTAACCGCATCTCTCTTTAGGTCATAACCGTGTTGCATCGGCTTCGGTGGCTGGTCTCGCCGTACTAAGGGCTTTTGAGGAGTGATGCTTTTGCTACGGTCTTGGAAATACTCATGAGAACGATTCGTCGTATAGCCTGAAACGACCCTTTCATCCTGTTACCTCTTTTTTTTTCTGGAAATAGACAACAAAATTGAGATATATACCAAATTTTGATAGGGACATCTTTGCTGGGATTGTTTATCTCCTCGGACCTAGCAGTTTCCAACTCCAGTCTCGCGAAATAGCTTCGCTTGCTTAAATAGCGGCCAACATTCTATTCACAACAATCAATTACCATCTCGCTCGGACACAGGGCGAAGTGCCTCTAGCAGGTCCAAGTGAACCTGAGCATCCCCACTTCTCTTCAAAGCCTCTTCAAAGAAGCCCGGTCCCAGACGCTTACTGAAAATAAGAACACTGGCCCAAACAAGATCAGCATAGCTGACAGTTTCTCCCAAGAAAAAGGGACCTTGATTCTCCTTCAACAGCGCTGTTGCCCCGCGAAGTGCTGGCTCAGCCTCATTCCATGCAAGAACTCCTCCTTTCACCTTCTCCAGCTGATCAACTGGCATCCCGAAGGACTTCTCACGGGTTGTATACCAGAACTCAAGACTCGCGTCGTTGAGTATATCCCTAGGGACCCAAGCCAAAAATATAGGGCGAATGGCTCTGGGGGAGGAAAGAGGAATAGTTAGATTGACCGTCTGGATTGCGCTGGGACTCTTGGGTTGGGAGGAGATCATGGTCAGGATCTGATCAATTCTTACCTCATGTACGCCGACCATAATTCTTCAACCTTAGGCAAGTAGCTTGAATCTAAATGCATTGAGGGCTGAGGATGTTCCTTCTCGATGTAGTCTGCGATCTTGCGCGAGTCCATCACACATGTTCCATCTGGACTTTCAATGGTGGGAATTGAGTACGCGGTGCCTTCCGTATTGGCAGGAACTCTAGGTAAATGTTAGATTACTTTTGTGTTTCTAATAGCTTTCATCACTTTTTCAAAGTTTGAACTCACTTGCTTTCTAGCGTCGGCTTGATATCTGGATATTCGAGCTTGTGGATTTGTCCATCAATTACAGGGCTTTGTTAGGTATCCCTAGGCAACTTACCCATTCAGTTCGGTAATCAAGCCCTTTGAAATTGAACAGAAGTCGTGCTAAACATATAGTCAGCATGGAATATTATGACATACCAAAAAATGTACCCATGACTCACTTTTCCAAGGGTTCGGTGACCAAGTGCTGCAGGGAGCCTTGCTGGGGATGTCGTAAAGAGTATACTGCTTGGATGCCATCGTACAATTTGGACAAGACCTTCGGAAGTAATGAGAAGCAATTGATGGAGAAGAAGTAAGATATAAAAACCAAAACAATCACTCCCCGCCGCCTTGCCCCTCGGTGGAGCCACCGAGTATTACAAAGCCCGGCCGATAATCAGACCGACGGGATTTCTTCGTGAAGAAACCAGTCCTAAAAGGGTCGTTTCACACCGACTTTCGAATTTATAATTACGTTTGCAAGCCTTATTTACAGCTGCATGTTGTCCCTAACCGTCTGTGTGAACCCCATCCCCCAAATTATGCCCGCGCACTCCATTGGCGTAGTAAACTAGGCATGAGCTCCTTTTCATGCTACATATATTCCGAAAGCTTTCAAATATTTAGATGATCAGTAAACTTACCGAATGGTGGGGAATTTTGAAACGAGAACACTTCCTTATGAGACAACGTAGTTGATATTAGAGCGTGATCTAAGCCTAGAAGGCAGTAAAACAATCTCTTATTGCATCAAGCCTAGTTGTACACGACATCATCGATGATGGGCTACGGCTTCGAATCGTGACCCAGATGATAAGATTTATCAAAATATACGCTTGTGGCCTCGTTAAAATGCTCGTCTAGAAGCCCCTTGAGCTGGATATATGAGCAGTAGTCTAGGTAATTATTAAATGAGATACTGGTTGAGATACCACTCAGAATACCTGTCCAAATACTCGTCTTAAGTACTTATCAGAATGACCGTTGAAATGCTTTATAAGGCGTATTGTGCGTCGCTTAGGTGACGTTTTTAAGAGAAAAAGTGTGACCCTTGCATTGTGAAGAAGCCGTACTGGTACTACAAGTATCCCTGTGTCTCGAGTGAGACAGTTGGAGAGCCAAAAGTCGGAGTCACGTTCCAGCCTGTGTGCATGTACCAGTAAGTATTTGGAAAAGTTAATATAAGGACCTGAACTGACAAATTACCAAAGAAACCGGTACAAGAACTCCAAGGGATGCTGGTTTATAGAGCAGAACAACCCTTACCGCCGCCGTGAGTACTTTGTTTCTTTTGTCTTATTTTCGGCTTCAATCATCTACGAACATTGTGGCGAACCTGCCACGACTTATATATCTACCAGTCCTTTACCGATATAATAATAAAACCTGCTGCGTTATACAAGTTCTGGTCTACTATAGACTAATATTGAGGAATAAACATGCAATGTCTGTCGAGATCTCGTGGCGTGGTATCCTTCGTTGAACTGACATAGTTACTCTCCCTTCTCCCTCTCTGCTTCCTTCTCTTTTTCTCCCTTGGTCCTTCTGCTTCTACAGAACCTCGAATATCATCTCCTCTAATATGAGATCTCTAGGAATATAGATGCAGAAACAATTGATTGTCTTGCAATATCCATACGCTAGTTGAAATTGGGTACACTAGCATCTTCATCTATCAGGACAAATCAATGTCTGGAAGTCGAGCGACCCTTTGAACCGGTAGTCGAAGTATGTTGGATGTTGCTAGACCGGTTCCAAGATCGATACTGGGTAGTTCGGGCTTAGTTCGGGGTTCTCGTCGGTTTGCACCGGAGTATAGATGAGACCTTACCTCAGATCGTTGGCGACGACTGTGACGTGCCGGCGCCCCACGGTTAGTTACTTTCGAGTGATCCTCAGTGTTGTGATCTGGGTGGTCGGACTCGGCATCACTGCTAAATTGGAGGTCATTTGCGGAGCGAGACTTGCTGGGGGACCGAGAACGCATTCTGATGTGAAAAACCGAATGAAGCGGATTTGCGCGAACAGTGGATGGTTTGATCGATAAATGATGGGCTGGTTGGTAAGAAATCCAGAGACAACTGGAGAGTAGACTGCTTCACCTCTTATACTTAGTGGGGGCAAAAGCACTGTTGCCCCCGACATTGGATTTACTTCATTGTGAACGCATCTTGATACAACTAAATGCTAACTAATAATCTAAATTATTTGGAATAATCTAACGTATTTCATAGGCTGGACTTGATAATTCAATGACTTATCTTCTACGGTACCGGCTGGCCTTGATGAGAAAACGGGGAAGCTGAAGCGAACGAATTTCAACTTGTGAGTTAGTTCCTAGACTAAGTGACACATATGTATATTTGGTGCCATTCATGAAATATTTTCAGTGTCCACACGGAATTTAGAATCTTCAAACCTATGTATGCGTTTGAACATCAGCCGTTCATCCATAGGCCCAAGGCGAAAAAAGAAAGAGAAATCAAATTAGAATGAGACCAACAATATAAACCTGCATCGAGGCGTGTAGCCATGGAGACAATATATTCGAAGATATACGCTGTCCTTAGTGCTGAATAACAAACGACTAAGATCGGGAATCCCGATGCATATGTCTAAAGTGGAGCAGCCACAAGGTTCTGATTTCCTCCCACGCCTCTTACAGAGAACTCAGGAACAAGCAAAGCCGATGAAAAGCAAGACTCCGACGCGTATTGTCCGAGGACCCAAACCCGCTAAGAAAAATACTCCTTTCGTTCGTCAATCGCCGGGCAAGCATCACCAACTTCCGTTCGCAAGTGGAACCCGACGACGTCATTACCAGGGACGAGCAAATAACAAACCTCAACATCTTGGCCGACGTGGACAACCAGCGAAACATGGCCGGAAATCACTCCAAATGCCTGCTGCCTGCTGAGATAGCTGTTGACATCTCCACTTGCTAATGTCATAGCCCCTCAGAGGTAACGGTCCAGGTCGCAATTTTCCAAATCAGCCCTACGTCAGGCTCAGCCCTACCATTCTGTACCCTTCTCTCCCGAATTCCTCGAATTACCCCAACTCCAAACATCCGCGATACTTCATCATGACCTCCGCTAGCGACTCTGTCTCTTCGCATTCTAATTCCATGGCCTCGCGCGAGCAAAGAATTGAACCCCAGGCTGAGACTGACACTGCCGTCCAACAATCCGAGCATGATATTTCTGCAGGCATGAAACATCAGGCTAGCTCCATAACTGCTGGGAATCCAATTTCACAGTTTGGAAACTCAGCGAGTGTTGTCGTTTCCGAAAATATTTCAACTATGAAGGAGGTAATGATGGATGATGCCCTCCCTTGCGCACAAGAGGCCTTGCAAACCGTGGGTGAGCAGATTCAGGCTCTCACGAACGGAAAGAAGGGCAGGGAGGAGTCGACATCGGAAGGTTCGCACCTGCATCCAACAAGATAGAATATGAGTGAATATTGACACTAGATGGGCATCTACAGAGCTTTCCTTGACATCCGAGGAGCAGGAACGCATCGACACCATGGACAACGAGCGGGTCTGTGACTTCCTACGAGAGACACACATGAGTACTACGCGACCACGAAAGACAAACTAGAGTTTTGCGATATACATTTTTGGCGTCACAGAATTCAACACTCCATTGACTGGAGAAATTCGAGCCAGTTCATTTGCAGCTTATTGGACTATGTGGCTCTTGACGCCACCTACTTCATATCATAGGGGACAGGATCCTCTTTCTTTCCATTCCAGTATATGATTAGATCTCATGAAGCCTTTAGGAAGACACGATTACCATATCCACGCACAATCTAGACAGAGTTTTTTATGAGACTGGTCCGGATTATCGCATCCTTCACTTATGGAGGGATATTACCAATGGCTTTTCCAAGAGTCTGAGTTTCTCGTAAAGGAATATGAATCGGATCTACAGCATCCATTGAACGTATCACAGGAAGATACTCTATAAGGTGTCTAGGTCCCGAGGTCATTTACCATGCATAATGATTGCTCGTTTGAGTCCCATGCGATTTTAGCGCGTGCATCCGGTGATAGATAAACAGAATATAAAATACATGCAGCAGTCTAGTGGATTTCCTACTTAAAAGTCACATAAACATAGATTTCATTGAAAAAGTGGTATGAGTCTAAGTCTTCCGTGTTGGAACTGTATTGACCACGACTGTCTCCCGTTCCTCATCACTACTATCTTGAGAAAGTTCCGAGGTTTCCTTCTTTTGCTCTCTATAGCTTCACGTTAGTCCCAGTCCAATTTACGAACAAAATATCTTACCTTCGATATATGACAATAGCGAAAACAAAGCCAGCCCACAAAAGGAAATAGAAGACGAAGGATACCGGCCATCCATGTCGCCATCTTGGTGCACCGTTCGGACCAGCCGTTGGGAAAGCTAATAGCGGAACCCAAATGTTGAACGAATAGCCCACCGACATCATAGCGCCCTGTTATACAAGATAATGTGGTTAGTGCCGATTCTTATTCAATGCCTGGTTGCAGAATGAGTACACACCATAATCAGGGCTCGTTCCTCGGAGTCGTTCTTGACAATTGTATTGATAGTTGAATACAAAATAGGACTCAGGCATCCAGCAGCCCCTAGGAAGTACCATGCAACGAATCTGAAGAAGTCAGCAAAGAGCTCACCAGGAAATGCAGAACCGGAATTGACTGACTTTAGCCCGGTAGGCACGTTCCAAATTATCATAACGATTGCTGAAAACAAACAAAATGCGGAGGCAATCGTGAAGATGATCCACTCCGGATAAATCGCTGCTAGTGTAGTCCCTAGCCAAGATGCAACAATTTGAACTCCATAAGTAACAGTCGGAAGCTGATTGATTTGCTTGACAGTGTAACCCTCCGCTTTGAGCCATAGACTCATGTAGCCAGCTGGATACGACGCAATTATCATGCAACTGGAAATATCATTAGCAAAATTTCAAACACCAATACGGACCTAGAAACTCACATGTAACAGCCGACAAAGAGCCAAATATGCCATCGCTTGAAAGTCCTCTTGAAAACGTCAAGATTCATCTTTCCAGGCCTGCTAATCTTGGCCCTTTCTGTTCTCTCCTTCGCCAGTACGATGTCTCTGTCTGTCAAAAAGAAAGGCTTTGGTGAATCAGGAATGCCAGGGAAAATGACGAAACCGAGTAAGGCCACAGGAATGGTGAAAACACCATCGATGATGAACAGCCATCTCCAACCGGGCATACCGCCAACACCCGAGAGATTGGTGTATGCTGCTGCTTGTAGATAACCGCTAATTGCTGATCCCGCGGGGTTCATTATGAACCAAGTTCCTGCTCGCTTGAACAGTTCTGGACCAGAGTACCAGGAACCTACTCAACATACTTTGATTAGTATATATTCATGCGCTGCTGTGGAGGAAAATAAAGGTCATATATACCGAGAACGAAGTGGGTTCCAGCAAATACAGGCGCCTCAAGCATGCCAACTAAAACACGAAGCGCGTACAATTGGTTGACATTTGTCACACGGCTCTGAGCGAACGTACAAATACCCCACAGAACCTCAAGCGTGGGGAGTAGCCAGCGAGCCCTATATTCCTTGTTAGTGGGCTGGTACATAGGTCGGAGGGGCTTCAAACTCACAGTTTCGGGCGCGACATCAGGAGTAGACCAGGTATTTGGAAAACAACATATGATGTAAAGTAGCAGATATTGAAATAATTAAGTTCATTGCCGTAAAGGCCAAAGTCTTCTTTCAGACCACTGACGTAGGCATTGTTGATGTTTGTTTGGTCTATAGCGGTTGTTAGTATCAAGTCTGAGGTTATGTAGATAACAAAAGAAAACGACGAATACTAACCCAAATACTTGACAAAAACTATCTCGTTATATTAGCAAATCCCAATGTTCGTTGCAGTGGCTTTACTTACAGCATAGACAGGCAAACACAAGGATTGACAAGTCCAATTTAAAGAGTAATCTAAACTCATTAGCACCACGTAACGATATTCATAATTCGATTTGACATACTTTCGCTCTTCAGCTGGATAGTGGGATGGGTACCAATTGAATACCTCTTTGAGAAGTCCCAACAAGGATAACCTGCCAGACTTAGGCTTCAGGTCGGACATGGTAAAGCCTGAACACGGTCTTTACTCACGCCGTACGTTTGTGAAATTCAAACCTTAAAGAGAGAATTATCACTACTTATACATGATAATGGTTTTTGGAGTATTATAACGTTCTAGCCTCGTGGTGTAGGAAAAGAGAGAAAGGCAACCGCGGCCATATTAGCACATTTATCTATCCGCTTTCACCATAACCCATCTCGGATGTTTAAATGGCCAGTGGAACTTGTATCAGCAGCTCTAAGAACAAGTTGGGATCGATCGACACCATTGTTGGAATAAAAGCCGGACGCAATGTCCATGCATAATGGCGTGCGAATTCTTGACTCCAGAAATTATCCGTTATCTTCGTCTCAGCAAGCAAGCCCGTGACGTGATTTTCTGCTGTCCGACCAATCTGGACATTTGATGCGGGGTATACTTCGGAGTAAATAGCGAAAGGGACTTATATACTTGCTTCTTTCCCGGAGAGGGCCTGTGGTACTGGGTAGCTCAGGTTACAGAAAGCCAATACGTCCCTCAAAGATCCACAATGTCTGCAAAATGCCGGGCAAATATATCGAAAACTACAACCATGTCCCAGAGACCAAGGAAGATCGTCAGTCATTGTACAGTATGATTGTTTTCGTTTTGCTAATATGACCCTTGGTATTAGTTGATTACGCAGAGCTTATCACCCTTGATTTGGAACTTTATGAGCAGCCAGGAGGAAAGGAAAAGCTCGTGAAGCAACTGGATCATGCAGTTCGAAATGTTGGTGAGTTAATAGTAGACCTAAAATAGACTTCATGGATACACTTTGCATGAACCCCACTGTTGCTGGATCCAGTCATCCCCTGGTCTTTATCTGTAGTTAGTTAGTTGGATTGCTAACAGATTGTCTCTATATAGGCTTCTTCTACGTGAAGAATTTCGGCATCAGCCAGGAAGAGGTGGATCGCCAGTTTGCTTTTGGACGCGAATTTTATGCCCTTCCACTTGAGGAAAAGCTGAAGTTTCACAATGCCGAAGACCTCGCGAGAGGCGAATACAATGGCTACAGACCAGCTGGACACAGAATGTACGATTGTTGGTGTTGATTAATTGGTTCATTGACTAATATGTCTTCAACCAGCCTCGGAAATGGTATCAGAGATAACGTGCAGGTGTACAATATTCCAAAGTTTGATGGTCACCACCAGCGACAGCAGCCTCCCGTCCTTGCTGAAAACATCGAAGAAATTGAGGCCTTTAGCCGGGTAAGCCTACTCATTTAGTCTTGATAACTGCTCATTAACTAATTCGAAACATAGAAATGCCACACCGAAGTTGTAGAGAAGCTTCTCCGCCTCTTCGCAATTCTACTCGAGCTTCCTGATGAAGATCAGCTCGTGCGCGACCACCAATACGATGTCAAGGGCGAGGATCACCTACGGTACATGCACTATGCAGCCCGCAGCGTAGAAGAGAGTATGTATCTAACAGCTCGTCGTCACCATGACCATAGGGCTGACCAGGAACAATTTGCAGACAAGAAAGTGGGCGAACTATACAGCCCGGGCCATACAGATCTCGGAACTGTCACCCTTCTCTTCCGCCAGCCAGTTTCAGGTCTCCAGATCCTCAATTCTGAGGGCCAATGGAAATATGTCAAGCCTCAGAATGCCACATTGACAGTCAACACTTGTGACAGTCTAACTGCTCTCACAGGCGGGTTGATCAAGAGTAGCATTCACCGTGTACATGCGCCTCCTTCAGATCAGGCTCACATTGACCGACTGGGGGTTCTCTATTTTGCTCGGTAAGACAATCTTGTCATTATGTATACATGTGGAACTAAATGCTGATTGACATAGTCCCAACAATCATATTGTCCTGGACCCAATCCAGAACAGCCCCGTTCTCCAGAGACTTGGCTTGACCACTAACGCTTTCACTGAGCTGGGTCAACATTTAACCACTGAGCAGTGGGTTCAGGTCCGACAGACACAACAGCAACGCCGCAACCGCGATGTGAAGGTTACTACTGAAGGAAAGTATACCTACAAGCCTAAGGACCTTGAGATAATTCCAGGGTTGCAAGCTACTATCTACAACTAGTCGTGTAGTCTGAATTATGAAATGAACACATAGGGCGCGAGCATGTTATGAGAAAGATTTAGTGAATCGTACTCGCAATTTCCTACTCCGAAGGAATGTGTCTTTGAAGCAATGTTGGTGGGATCAAGTTCATTACACAAAAAAAGGTTAGGATTAAATATGACCGAATGCTTCAGATAGGCCCTTACCTTTGTGTGCAACGCATAGAGAAAACTTAACTAGCCGGCGAGCGAAAGGGAGGTCACCGCCCGGTGCGATATCGAGTCTTCTATACCGACTAGGAATGCCGCTTTTTATACCGCTTTTGAACCACGATAGTTTGGTTCGAATAGTAGCATAAAGTCGCACCGGACGGCGGTATATAGGTGGTATAGCGGTAGACTCGTGCACTATTTGTTAGACAATCTGATGCAATTAGAGATTATTGGCGATGTTGACAGTAATGAAAATACTGTATTTAGAGCGGTGTTTCTGCCGTTTTTTTTTTGTCTGGCAGAATAATTGCGCAAAGTGGAGTTTCTCAACGCCCCTCACTGTACAGTCTTCATTCCGCCATCCCATCTGAGAAACAGAGAAAATCAAAATGGCGATTCCGATCACAATCGTCACTGGCTTCCTAGGCTCAGGCAAAACAGTACGTGCACAATCAGATCGTCAATGACACCATCTGCAGCGACACAACCCGCTAACACACACCCAGACAATCCTCCTCAACCTAATCCCCCAACTTCCAAGCACCTACCGTCTAGCCCTTCTAAAAAACGAATTCGGCGATGTGGCAGTGGACAGCCAACTCGCCGCAACAAGCAGCATAAGCGGCGTGAAAGAAATGCTAAACGGATGCATATGCTGCAACATGGTGGGCTCACTTGGCGACGCCCTAACCCAACTCCGCAACGAAGTGAAACCAGACCGAATCGTGATCGAAACAAGCGGCAGCGCATTCCCTGCTACTCTCGCGATGGAAGTGAACCGACTCGCGCGCGAGGAGGGCGGACATTTCGCCCTGGATGGAGTGATCAGCGTGATTGATGTTGAGAATTGGGAGGGGTATGAGGATACGTCGTTTACGGCGAAGTTGCAGGCCAAGTATACGGATTTGATTATTTTCAATAAGTGGGAGAATGTGCCCGAGATGCGGTTTGATGCTTGTCTTGATCGGGTGGGTGATTTGGAGGTTCAGACGCCTTGGGTTAAGTCGGCTAAGGGGAGGGTTGATAAGGATGTTCTGCTGGGTATTGATGGGGCTTTGTTTAGGGGATTGACGGGTGTTGAGGATGGGAGTCATGGCCATGATGAGCATGACCATGAACATAAGCATGATCATCAGTCGGAGGTTGAGGTGCTTTCTGTTTGTTTGAAGGCTGCTTCTGAGGGGAGAACTGTGGATGTTGCTGCTCTTGAGCAGTTCCTTTCTTCTGTGCCGCGGGACGAGGTTTATCGCATTAAGGGTATCCTTCGGTGTTCGAAGCAAGATTTGCCGGCTGAGACTTCGGATGATCTTGCATCGAAGCCCAAGACTGAGGAGTCTGGTGTTCAATACTACATTCTCAACTGGGCATTTGGACGCTGGACTTGCACGCCTTCCACTATTGTTGCTGAGGGTGCCGACCAAACTGTCATTTGCCGCATTACGTTGATTTTAGCACGATACGAGTCCGCCAAGTGGAAGAAGAAGCTGGATGCTGGCGGCCTGGTGCAGGCTAGTGAGGGAGATGATATAGAGTTGACTGTGGAGCGTCTGGCTTAGACGAGGAGCTGGTTTCCTGTATAGATGTAATGTGGTTGCTGATACCTTACGAAATGATAGAGAGCATGATAGATTTCAAATCTTTGACAAGTACTTTACTGCTTGACACTACGAGAAAAAGCACTGAGGGGAGGTATGTATGACGAGGGCCAGGACAGTGCCACTATAGTATTGGACAGCTTGGCGGGAATTCGGGTCCTGATGGAAGTATATGCATTCTTTCTTTCTCACTAGTTTGATCCCTTTCTTTCGCATCTGTCTATTTCATCAATATGGAGAGAAGATTCCCGCTACCCGAGCTTACTTCACACCCCCGCGCAGAGTACCATCAGGGCAATGGTGAGATCATTGAGAACTGACGCGGAAAGCAACTTCACTCGAGTTTAGATTCTAGAGAAGGGAACGATGTAAAATATGCTGCAGAAAACACGACAAATACTATATTACTCTTCCCACTGGAAGTCTCAAACGAAAGATATTTTCAAGCAAAATGACAAAATGCACAATGTTCAACAATAAAACAGAGCCAAACTAGTAGTTGAGCAGGGCCGAAGCGCCAGTCTCGCTCGAGATGTAAATCACCTCATGGTTGTCGGAGAATCCGTTGAAGCGAGTAGCACTGCACTTGGTGTAGGCGCCCATATCCTCGAAATAGAGCCAGTCACCAGTGTTGAGCAGGCCAGGAAGCTCGATCTTCTCGCTGATGACATCAATGCCGTCACAGGTCGGGCCCCAGATGGAGTAAGTGATCTTCTCCGAAGTCGCAGAGTTCGGAGTGCCGGGCTCTGAGGCGCAGGTGAGGACCTGGGCGATCGGGTGCTGGTGATCGAAGATGATGTTCGAGAAGTTGCCATAGACACCGTCGTTGAGGTACAACATGTATGCGTCGCGCGAGGGGTCCGTGGGGTCCGGAATGTCTCGCCGCGCGATGACATTGGCGGCCAGGGTATACGCGGTGGCCACATAGTAACGGCCAGGCTCGGCAATGACACGGATGTGCGGCGGGAAGCAAGCGTCCACGGCTTCACCTAGAATGCCCGCGAATTTCTCAAAGCTGTCCTGGCAGAATCCACCACCAACATCCAAGGTGTGAAGCTCGTGGCCCACTTCTGCGGCCTGGTCAAAGACCACGCGCGCATCCTGAACAGCCTTGAGGAACGCCGAGGGATCTTCGGCGCCGGAACCGACGTGGAAGCTCACACCGACGACATTGAGTTCCAGCTCGTAAGCCAGTTCGAGCAGCGGACGAGCCATATCCATGGAGGCTCCAAACTTCATACTCAACCGGCACAGGCTGGTCGAGTCATCGGTCAGGATACGCAGGTACAGCTCCGCATCGGGGAAGGTGGCCTTGATCTTGTAAAGCTCGTCGGCATTGTCAAAGGTCATCTGCTTAACGCCGACCTCGGAGGCAAAGCGCAAGTAGGACTTGGTCTTGCAGGGCTGCGCATAGATGATGCGGCTAGGATCGATGCCCGTCTGAAGGGCCAGATCGATCTCCGACTTGGAGGCACAGTCGAAACCGTTTCCAAGCTGGGCCATGAGACGCAGAACCTCGGGGTCCGGGTTGCACTTGACAGCTGGAGATATTGTTAGCAAGGCTCGATTGTTCCAGTGAAGTAAGACTTACCATAGAAGGGCTTGATACGGCCCAAATTCATCTTCCAGCGCATATGCTGGCGGTAAACCTCCCCCATATCCGCCACGTAGAAAGCATCCTCCTCACCAGGACCACAGTGGTCCACATCCACCTCAGTGGCCCGCTTCTTCAACACATCCAGAACCAGTTCCTTGGCGGTCAAGGAAGATTGCAACAGATTGTCCTCTCCATGACTGCTGATGGGACCCTGAAGGTCCAGACTATTGGTATAGTCTTTCCTGAAAGTGCATATTTCAGCAGTCGATACACACGCAGTCGGTGCCATAACCGTGCAGCTGCAACTCAGCACGATTGATGATATAAAAAGATAGAAAAGAAAAAAGTATTTAAACCGGCAGACGACTGCGCGTTAGGGAGGACGAAATGTGTCACAACCGAAGTTGACTGGACCAAGCCTCCTAGACCCTTCCCCCTGAAGAGGAAGAACCTTCGAAGAAGTCCTATGCGGCAGCTCAGAGAACGAGGGAATAATCTCGTGGGACGTCAACGGGACGAAAAAAGGCGCACCGGACGAGAGCTTAGAAACCGCAAGCAGGAGGTGGAATGTTGTTAAGAGTGTCGCGTTGACGTCGAGTGGAGACAATTTGGCTAAGAAGCTGACGAGAGGCTGGAGCCGTAATGACCGATAGCCTTTGGGGGTTCCAAAGGCAGGGTCGAGCTGGAAAAAGGACTAAATCTGAGAGACAAAAAGAGACCAGTTAGCACAGCTGGCTACTGCAATTCCAGTGCTATGATAAATATGAGAGAAAAAAAGTGGACGTGTGAGAGAAGTCCGAGGGTTCAGAATTTTAAAAATTGGAGAATTTTTGGAGGGGCAGTAAGTGAGCTTAGGGCACACGACCATTGGGACAAAAAAAAGGCCGCACAGTCACAAGCCAGAACCACACATGAAGCAAAAAAAGACTCACCTGGAAAAAGACGAGTTGAGGACCCAAAAAAGAGGGAGATGGGAAGGAGGAAGCTGGAAGAGAGAGAGAGATGACGACTCTGTGGGGGAAAACCATTTGCTTACGGCATCACCCGAAGGGTCTCGGTCTACAAAAAAAAAAAAACTTGACACCAATAATCCCTCGAATGCGTTATTTTTGGGACCTTACTGCTACTCGATCCATTTTTATTGCTAGTGCAGCTTCCTATACGTCGCGAAATGTGCATGATGCATGAGGCGCGGACCAGATCCCGCTTTGTGCCCGGAATTGCTGAATTCAATTGCCAACATGCGGTGTGAGCGACACCGGATTGCCCTAATTTGATCATTCCTGGATGCCTGCTCTAGCGTCAAACAAATACAAATACCGGTATTCAGCACACTATGCGTTATATGTACCTAGGTGTGGCTGTGTGCTTACCTGGGAGCTATGTAGATGATACGCAGACCTACCGTGTAACATTTATATGCACGTAGTGTAGCTATATCCTACATAGATATGTAGGCACATGTAGGAAGCTACTCGTGCATCTACGTGTCCACTGGCAGTTCTTGATGTGCGCACGGACCATGAAAAGACCGGCCTCTCAGCTTTGTTCCGATGGTCATATACTTCACCCTTATATATGACCTGTATTTTTATTCCTTGCCTTCTGCCGTGCGACTGTAGCAATAAAATTCGATCTCATCTACCTGATCATGTTGAGAGGGGAGCTGTAAACTGTCCTGCACAGCTGTAAACCCTGCAGAGCTCATCAGATCAAAGAAAACTGTTTCGCTGTCATGTCGTCTCTTCAGAGCCACCAAGATAATTGCGTCCGGGGATGTCCGAACCAATCGGTCCAGCACATTGACTAGTGCGGGCAAGCTATCTGCGTTGTAGGTGCAATCCGAAACCAAGATTAACTCAATGGGCCGGTTGCATAGGTCATCCGGGGGGTTGTCCCAGTCGAGGTTTTGATATTCAACACTCGACTGGGGTGCCGTCTGAGCCTCTTCAATGTTCCGTGTTATTATCGACTCGACCTCGGGGAGGTCCGTGAGTAAAACTGAGCAGTTGGGTAGCAAGCTCGCCAAGGCAATGCCTACTATCCCACACCCTGCCCCTAACTCAACCACTTGAATTGGTGAGCTGCGGGCGGTGGATAAGAGCCGTGTTAAAGCAGGCATTTTTGACTCGAGATGTTTGTATTTTGGTTTGCCAGCTCTTGTTTTTATATCTTCCAGTGCCCTCTGCAAGTATATCACTGAGGCGAGGCCCGCATCCCTAGGAACATCCTTGGTTAGAACCTAAAACATGAAGAACCCATAGAGGTAAAGAACGTACCATATATGTCGGGCAATGCTATTCCCAGTTTCCTCCCAAATATTCAAACCCTCGCGAGGTCCGTCCCTGAGAACCAATTTCTCTGCAGGCAACTTGAGCCCAAACGGTGCACTTGTGGCAGCCATAACCAATGGCACTAGAGCTCTATCCCCAGTGACCTCGGGCTGAAGTTTGATGCTCAGCTGCATGGACTGCTGGACCAAAGCTGACGGGAGGGGGCCCAAATTAATGGCCAGTTCACGATTCCCGGCGTTCCATGTCACTTTCTGTTCAAATCCTGGGGATTTGTGAATTGAGGAAACGATTAATTCGACATCTTCAGCGAGGAAATCGTCTCCCAGGTCCGTGGTGATGCAAATAAGTGCGGAGATAAAGAGTGAGCCTTTCTTCGGTGAAACCCTTGGGGTTTTCAGGAATTGAATGTAGTAGACCATCACAAGATGTACCCAATATCTCCCGTTTCTCTTTGCACCATCTTGCGATCATCAAAAATTACCCCGGATCGGTATCTCACGTGCCCGCTGACTAACAGGGGATGACATCGGTTGCGTCCAACTTCACTTCATCCTTGACTTTGTTAATGTCGCCGGCGACAGCCGGTGGAGTGAATTGAACTTTGATCAAATCGCCGTGCCTCCATCGCCTTGCCCAACATGATGCGACCGCGCGACCCCCGCATCCGGCAACGGATCAACCAGATCTCCCATAATCTCGAGTCCGCCAACGAAACAGCACAGGAAGGGCTTTACGCATTCTCCCACAACTATATCTCCCCATGCTTTGCATCGATTGGAAGCTGTGTCACCGCATGCACAGCCCCTTGCCTGCCGAGCCGGGAAGACCACCTCAGGCGGAGACGACGCGGCCGAACCGAGGCTAACTTTGATTTCTACGATGATTGGGAGAATGAAGAAGAAGAGGACAGCTTACTTGGATGGGGCAATGGTGAGCTTGACAGGCTCCTTGCTGGTAGCGGCCTAGCGCGCGGAAATGCGGAGCAACCGCGCCGACCGAGGAGGATGAGCTATGGGACTCGAAACACAAGGCGAAGGAGCACAGTACACATTCCAGATAATCACGCCGACCCGACTGTTATTCCAAGTTCGTCCTTTATCGGGTTCCTTGAGCGCTTCCCGTGGAGGTTTGGCGCGCGCGGAGTCAAGTATCGGCCTTCCGCTGCTGATCTCCAAGAACATCCGGGCACCCGGCGATATGCGCATGAGGATGAACCCTTGATGGAAGCTATGGACGATGAGGCTCAGCTATCTCCCACTCCGGCTGGGAGGAATCGTAGTGCGACGCAATCATCCCGTGGGACATCGAATTCACTTAGTTCGCGCGGTGATCTATTCCCTAGTGACGAGGAGGAGGATGCCGTACCCCTTGACGATGAATTCGCGTTTACCTTCACGCGTCGAGGGACGGGATTGGAGTCAGATGATCAGTCTGGAGCAAAATCTGAGTTGACAAAGTCTGGTTCTGCATCTAGCCTGGGCGATGCGTCGTCCAAAAAGGACAAACGGAAAAACAAACGCCGCACGAAGAGATTCTCGAGCCCACCTGGCGCCAAGATTGTTCAATCGATTGACACACCGTCGATGACAGATTTTAAAACAGAAGATCAGCGGGCTGCACTGGAAGAAGAAGCGGCCATTGAGAGTAGACGACTCGCCGCACAAGAGCTAGCTTTGAGTCGAGGTCTCGATATGAGAGCGGGTGATATGGTAGGAGATATTGCACAACCTCCTGTCCTCTCGAAGTCAAGCTGACCAAGGCACATGTTCAGCCAACTACGAAATCTACCAACACAAGTCTACCGCTACAAAACGAGGATAAACAATCCATCCCCCAATTTAGGAGGTTCAGTGATTCTTCCGGCCAAGAAGCATCTACCAACCAGACTGAACCTTTCCCTCCTCTCTCATTATCTCCTTCTTCTGTGATTCTGGAGTCTCAAGGCCTGTCCAAAGCCTCGCCAAGGGCTCTCTCACCGCATGGACTTGATGATACGAATTCCTTCGACTAATTAGCACTGGGGCCTATGTTCCTCTGTGCATTCTGTTTTTGCTTGCTTCCGGTGGTGTTCATGGTCTTTCGCCATGGGTCACTACCTGTATGATATTATGAGCGACTTTGCTGTACCTTATACCCCCTGACACGAATTGAAGAGTATTAAGTATTATGACATGTGGAATTTCTCCAATCTCCTTGCCAATATTACGCTAAAGAGGTTCAAGAACTGCATAATAAAATATTACCTCATTTCCAACTACTTCACTGCAATGGATAATTTCCCTGTCACATCCCCAACTTCATTGGTAGAACATAGATCATCACGAGACCTCTATCATGCTTTACATTAGCCCGAGGACTTTCCGAAATAAAAACTCGATCTAGGCCGAGAAAATAAAGGGAAGTTAATGAGCGTCTAGCGTCCTCGTGAATGCTATCGATGCCATAGTCCGAACATCTACACCCTTCAATGTATGTTTTGTGACTACACAGAAACGAACTATTTCTACTTTCCACTCACTCTATAGAGTATGAAACGAGAAAACACATTCAGCTTGTGTGGTGTTCCACTATGTCAATGTTGCTAATCGCTTGCTAGCACGTACGAAAGTGTCTATGGAGCAAATAATAGCCAAGCAGACAATCAAGCTGAAGAACAAAGAGACTTGAATATATAAAGGGCCTCTCTTTCCCGATCTACGGGAGTCATTGTTTCCTCATCATGTCTATCTATATACCACACGATATGAAACCGAGAGCTGGAGAGTAATTGTTGAGGAGCTTACTCCATCTTGACTCATCTCCCTCTTTAACCCTTCTTATTAGCTACCTGGCTGTCTATGCTTAGGCCTCCAATATCTCGCTCCTGTGTTTCCAACTACTGATAACTGTCTTTTGTGCGGTCCAATAAAGACCTCCTGCTCTGTGTTCTGGTCACATTTACCATCAAAAAACAAATACCAGCCAGGTCTTTCCAGCATGTCCCAGCTGGTATCCTGGAGCCTTCAAGGTCACTGGTATCAGAAACACGGAATGTTCCACTAGGTAATTAAAAGAGGGATTCCGGCTTGTCTCTGAAATGTATTGACAATTAATCTTAGAAGGGTCTGTGTCATCAACACTGCCCATAGGCTGGTCCACCTTGGCTGTGCTCAGGCAGTATCATACTAGCCGCTGGGAGGCTCTAGAAGGATCTCTCCTATGGTGAACAGGCTCATATGCCGACGCGAAGAAGTATCCGCGTATGCTAGAGGGCGCCTGGCTTGTTAAATAGTACAAAATGTACATAATATCACCTTTCGATGTGCGATTTGAAGGTCATCACGCACCGTTCGGGTAGTTAGCCCATATGCAAAGCATTGAAGCCCAGAGACAAGCCGGGACCGGCATGTCGTTATCCCCACACCCTCCGGGGCCCACATCGGCCTCGTCAGCAAAATACGAACAGCACACTGCACTCCTACATCAGCCAGGAATTGTGATTGTATTATTTTCTGCACTTTCTGCATTGCTTGAGCAAGACATTGTATTGGAGTTCCAACGCTTTACATATATAGTCTCATATCACAGGAATCGTCAACCGCCACAACATACCAACGATTATCGGTCGTCTTGCCCCGCATCATGGCTAAAGCAGAACAAGACCTCAGATCTGTTCTGGATGGAGGCTTTAATCCAAGAGAATTCCCTTGGTATGAGCCTGAACTTGTCGAGGTTCCTGAGCCAGCGAAGAAGATCCTAGAGAGCAGAATTCCACGTGAGGCTGTGGTCGAGCATGTGAAGAAAGTGGTAAGTGTCTCTCCTGATCCTAAATTGGGAATTGATACTGATAAATCTTGTATTTTCCAGCGAGATAGAGCTTTTGCAGTGGTAAGTCTGTGCTCTTCTGAATGCCATCTGGTGGATTTGGGATGACGTTCGAGATGCTAAACAGCTTCCAGTTCCCTTATCCGTGCATAGGTGCTTTTCGATTCTTGGATATGTCTATAGCACAGTCACCGCTGTATCCTGAAATTCTCGATCGCCTGAGGTCCGGTGAAAAGCTACTGGATGTTGGATGCGCAGTTGGACAAGAGTTGCGTCAACTGGTGAGACCGATTCATTTCGTCAAGTAAAACTTGATAAGTTTTAAATTTGCTAATCCTTTCATCAGGTTTTCGACGGCGTGCCATCAGAGAATCTCTTCGCCTCAGATCTCCGCCAAGATTTCTTCGACATAGGCTACGACTTATTCAACGACCGCGATAGTCTAAAATCTCACTTCATAATGGCAGACATCTTCGACGATAACTCGGACTTGGTAAGGAATCTGGCCAACAAAATCGACATCGTGAATGCCGCTTCATTCTTCCATCTCTTCGACTGGGACAAGCAAGTTACCATTGCAAAGCGGCTTATAGGGCTGCTTCACGACAAGCCTGGGTCTCTTTTGATTGGAAGACAGGTTGGCCGGGTTGATCCGCCACCTCCTGAAAAGAAATATGAAGCTGGAAAGCATTACCGCCATAATCCTGCTACGTGGAAGAAGCTCTGGGAGCAGGTTGGGAGCGAAACGGGGACAAAGTGGGAGGTTGAGGCTTGGATGGAGAAGTGGGCTGGGGCGGATTCTATGATGAAGGATTTCCATGAAGGCTTGGAAACGTTTAAATTGAGGTTCACGGTGCGGAGGATTTGAGAGACATGCCTTGATTTGGTAGGGATGTTTCTTCGACTACTTGATATAGCCGTGGATGAATATGACGAAAGACAGAACTCACGGGTGAGCAACTAGATTTTCAGGGATGTCATCACCAAAGTACCAATTGAAGAGGAGACTATGAGATGGATAAATATGAAGTGTCTAGATCGATAGAGAGAAAGGAATATGACATGGATCCGGCCGATGACGGCAGGATCAAGTATAATTCTGCACATGTTTTTGCCTAAATAGAGCTTGGATTTTTGTCAAGGAACCGAGGTTGAGATTGTATATCCAAAATGTTGAGCAATAGATTGGAAGGGGAAAATGATTTTGATGGATAAATTGGTTATGAAGGTATCTCAGAACTAGCTAGGAAAACCACAGAGAGGTGGCGCCAGTCTCAACACAAAGCTCATTCAATAACGCGTGGGACAGAAATTGCGGTGGTGTTTGCCAAGCCTTTGACATATGGACAGCCGCTTCACCCTTGAAAACAAAATAATTGAATGAATGCTTCAGACCACTTGTGTCACATCCTACAGAGAGAGATAGTCTGCGCAGCGGGTAATGCCAAGCTGCTGAACCAGGAACTCGTTGACAAACTGGCACTTAGGATCCTGGCGCTGCTGAATAGCCAAGAACTCGGGCAGCTTCGGGAATTTCTCCAGGGTATAGGTGGCATTAGGAGGACTCATCTTGTTCCAGTGGGACCGAACATTGTAGGTTTCACCAAATTGAGGGAGGAATTCATGGGCCAATTCCTGGTTCTGCCAGAGAGTGGTGAAGTTGTTATATTCTTGGATCCAGTCAATCTCAATGATCGCAAAAACACCGCTGGACTCCGGGCCAAGGTTATAGGTGTTGACAGGAGACAAATATGTATCGTCACCCTTGAGGGTACGGTGTTGGATGACCATTTGCTTGTTATAGGGAGCCTTCATGCGAGGCGTCTGGGCCTGTTGGAAGGTGGTGTAGTTGGCGGCGGCTTCCGCGTAAGACTCAATAGGAAGAAAGTGCTCGATTTCTGCATAGAAGCCTCGGGTACAGACACCTTGGGGAGAGCAGGACGCAGCGTCAGTGACTTCGTCGTAGCAGATGTATTCCTTCTTGCAATCACCGCAGCCGTTGGCACAGTAATTGAGAGTGCAGTTGCGAACACCGGTATAGTCAGTCGGCTCCCAGTAAGAGAGGAAGTAAGTAGGCTCGAGGGCCCAGCTGTGAGTGTTTTCATCCCAGTCGAAGTGAGGGCCCCAAACAGTCATACGGTCGTGCTCCTTGTACAGTTGGGCAAGCTCCTTGTACATCTTCGAGAAGTCGGATGTGGCATTCAACACCTTAGTGGTCTTCTTCAGGAGTTGGGTAGGCTGGACCTTGATAGTCAACTCTGTGATTAAACCGAGGGCACCAAGGCTGATACGGAAAGCCTTGAGTTCTTCCGCATTCTGCTTCTCGTCGATGACACGGAGATTTCCCTGCGAGTCCAGCACACGCAGCCCAATGATCTGGGTTGCGATATTACCGAGGTGGGATCCAGAACCGTGGGTACCGGTGGAGGCAGCACCCACAAAGTTCTGAACACGCTCAACACCGAGATTGCTAAAGGATAAGTCATTGGCCTTCAGCTCTTGGACAAGGTCATCGACATCCCAGCCGGCACCAAAGGTGACGGTCAGATTCTTCTTGTCGATACTGAGCTTTTTCAAATTGGTGAGGGAAACGATATAGGTGGGCTTCTCAGTGAGAGTGTTGTCGACGCAGGTAGTGAGGTTACCGAATCCATGACCATTTCCAACAACTTTGATGTGGGAGCCCTCATGGTACTGCTCCTTGAGGAACTTGGCGGCGGCAAGCTCATTCTGAGGAGCAATGTAGGCGTCAGACTGACAAGTGACCTCAAACTGCCAGTTGAACCAGCGGTAGGCTGAGCCAGACACTGCGTGCAACAGCAGCAGCAAAAAAGCCAGCTTAAGGCTAAGCATTCCGGAATCTATGGAGTCTCCAATGTCAGGAAACTACCTGGCATGGGAGAAATCGAATGAAAGACTCACAGGAATAAGAATGCTCGAACTATAAACA